CGGCGACCACGTCAGTGTCTTGAAGATCTTCACAGGTGACTTCTACGAAAGCAGTCGCTCGAGGACGCAGCGTCACGCATTCGTCGGCAACACGCAGGGCAGGTCCACGACGGCTATCGGAGCCTTGATCAGTTGCACATTGTGTCGAGAAAGTAACCATTTGCTCGCGGAGATTTGTGATCGCGTCGTTCTCTCAAAGGAAGTCCATACCAAGGATGAGCTGACGAGAACAGTCACGTAGTACGAGACAGGTGACAACAAATGTTGACTCGCGTATTTCCACTCTTGTGGTACAGCGGACCAATTGAGTAACCACGTGGCCTCCAGCCGTGCGAATACGCGTCCTATTCCAAGGTTTAGTCATGTTCTTAATACTGGTTGCTAATTTTGTACTCATAATAGAATAATCTGCACCTGTGTCCACCAATGCGCCGACCTGAAGATCGTCTGTCAGCACGGCAATGTCGAGCGAGACTCAGGTCTCTGTGTTCAGACGCGGCATCCGGCGTTTCTTTCGGCACTGCACTCAGACGTCAATTTAATATCTGCTAGCGTTTTCTGCAAGCGTCGATGGCAGGTATTCCGCACTTTGAGTCCCAGCGAACTCACCCCCGAAGGTCGCTGCCATCAGTTTTTCCACCGAGGGCTTGGGGAGCGTCCCCCGCCCTCGTACCGAAACGTGGCCCAATGGCTGCGTGTCGCCGTAGAGATGGTGACCATGATTGACGCCGTGAGAAACGTAGACTTTGCTGCGCGCGGTAGTCCTCGATTTCTCTTGGCCGCTGACCATCTAGTGGAGGAGCTGATTGAAGAGAGAAACCGCGCAGTCCAAGTTTTCGGTGTGGGCATTCCCGGTATATGTGGCCGCCTTCACCGCAATGGAAGCAGAGGGTCTTCTAGTCGATGTACGACAGATATGAGAATTCCGCGTCGGAGCACGGCGACCGTCGATGTCCAAACCAGCGTGTGCTGATTGAATTGCAACTGGTGACATTGTCTCGACTAGGACTGAAGGGCTAGAGACCGGCATGGAAGTGCACAAGGCTTCGGCATATGTACGGTTCCGAACATCAGTGGACGCAGGAGGTGGTTCTAGATTGGTATGCATCGGTTGACAGCGACGGCTGTGAAGCACCTTCTGGACGTCGTCCCGGATAATGCTGGTGATGCTGCTTACTTCCGGCTGTCTCGCCTCGTGTTGCTTCGCCATTTCCCCGTGGACGACAGAGCAAACGATTTCGTAAGTCCATTCGACGCTGTTGCTCCCGAAGGTGGCGGAAAATTTAGGAGATGATGCAGCATTCACTTGCTGGTCGAATAGGGCAGACCGTTGATGAAGTACCTTCTCAATCATAGTGGCTTCGATCAGAAACTCCGCTACACCCCTTGGAGGACTCCGCACTAGACCAGCAAAGGCTGCTCTTTCACGACTCGCATCTGATAACGAAGCTTTTTTTCTTCTGGCATTGCCGGATCTACTCACCTAAAAAGCGGAGTCATGTCCTCGACATACATGGTGGCAGTCTCATTAGGCATCTGAATGCGTGAGTACTATGCATGTTCAGCACGTTCGCGGCGGTCGGGGATCCGATATGTCTCCAAGAGATGATGCTGGAACTCGTGCCAGGATGTGAAGACATCATCTCTGTTCAGTAACCACGTTCGGGCGCCGTCTTTTAAGCAGGCGTAAACGTTGTGGAGTTTGGCGGCTTCGTCCCAGCAGTTGATCGCTGCAACAAGTACGAACTCGCTTAGCCAGTCATCCACATCCTCAAACAGCTCTCCGTGAAAGAGACTAGGCATCAGCGGGTTAAGGTCAGTGCAATAGATCGGCGTAGACGACGAAAGAGTTTCCATGGCGCCTTGACGTGAAGTCATAGTCGCTCTGTCGAATAGCTGTTCCACTGTTTCTGGTGGTAGGCCTCGTTGGCGGCGTCTTGTTCTGTCAACTGGCATGTTCACTGGCACGGGGCTTGTGTTCCGGCTCCTGGGCGAGCTCGTGTGCATGGGGTGCATTGGGAGTCGTAGTACCCAGGAGCTTCACCAATCTTGTCACGCTCAAGGTAACCTTACGTAGTACTGCTCGGTCAGCTAGGCCAAAAAAGCGGCTCAGTCCAAACTTTTTCATCCTCTTTTACACGAAAACACGAGAGACCATGCGGCACTATAGACATTGTTAGTTTGCTCCGCCATGTCTCAAAATTGAATGTCAAAGAGGTGAGACCACAAACACTTGTGAGGTGCTCTTTTTGGGCAGCCTGAGTGCGTCTGACCGCAAGTGCCACATCTTCTACGGTTGAATTATTGTGTGCGAAAAAGGCCTTGACATAGCCGGAGATATTTTTTAGCAATGAAAGTTGTTCGATACAGTAGTATGATCTCACAACTAACGTTGTCAAAGGTTGCTTTGAGGTCAAAAGTCATTCCGGCGTGCCCTGCTTGCATCGGTATGTTGCTGGGAATGTCTTCTGTGTTGAGTATCAATCTCCCTCGAATACATAGCTTTTGTCAGAAAACAAACTTCGAGTGAGGTGGGAGTGTACCTCGGCCACCTGTTTCTAACCATTGGTGAATAGTTCCACCAAGCACGAGAAGTGAGATCGGTCCCAGATTTTCTAAGCTAGATCTTTTGTCGAGGAGAACTGCACACCATGGGGCCCTTTGTGCTCATAATAAACGACATATCTAAGCAGATCCCACTAGAATACATCAACACTCTACAATACACTATAGAATCGCCGCAGTAGGCACAGTCGAGTATGACTCTACTACACATACTTGCAGAAAGTTCCTGCCAAAACGAACAAAGCGCGGCAGCCAGTCACGTCTGTTGTTAAAAAAAATCAGCTCATGCACTTGGCGAGACTCTTAGAAAGGAGGGCGCGGTGAGCCGTCTGCTTATGAATGCGCTGCTCCACAAGCCTAGGAAACGTGTTTATTGTTACAGTGTTATGTGCATCTGCCTTAAAAAAAGAATCTCTCAGACTTCTAAAATTCCGCGTTAACATACTGTTTATTATGTAATGTCTTGGATCTGCAGCACAGTCACTGTAATCGTACAGAACGTGATATCGGCCAGAATTTTTTTTCTTTTTCGATCAGGCACACTCATCACAGCTGGCCACATACTGTGAAGATAGTTGAATTATCGGCACAGAAGCTCAGGGTTCACGAAGATAATTACAGTTTACTTTGAATGTTTTATAAATGCGTGAGCGGAAACCATCAACGATTTTCTTCTGAAAATCGAAAACAATTTGAACAATGTAGAAGGTCAAACAGATTTCTAATTGTTTACAAAGTATTAATTAGTTTTTATTGATAATGCCCAATTAGAGCATCAGGGTGCTCTAAATGGGCACGTGCAGTTCATGGTGCCGGCTTTTTGGAGAATGTGGTGTTTTGTTTGTAACATTTAATTATGGCAGGTGATGAAAACAAGAAAGTACTCGTGATCAGTTCATTCTCAGAAGAAAGCGACGGTGCTAAAGCATATTCGTTTCATGTTTTTTTCTCTTCTGGAGTGTGACAAGCTGTCGTTTCGCAGGTTTACTCGCGCATGACAGCGTGCGTTTCTAAAACATTCAATGTGCTCGGCACATTCACCGAAAAGCAGGCACGCGCAGTTAGCCATGATAAAGCTTGTTGCGTGAAGCGTACGAGTCGTCTTCAATAGGTAAACGGCTGCTAGCGAAGACGTTGCAAAAACTGCCTTGCTTCGACGTGCAGCGATTAGTGGAAACGCGAGTAAAGATGTTGAATGCTATTTCACGCCCTATTTTTTTAGGAAGGCGAACGCGAACAAGTGTTTCGGAAGGAGTCACCGTAGTATGCGCTAGAATTTTCATCAGCTCGAAAAAACAATCAGTGTACACCACTACGTGTACAAAGGTTACGGTATCTTGCAAAGGTTACGGCTTACCCGTTTTTTTTTCTGTCAGAATTTTGAGTTCCTCTCTGTGTGCAGTGAAGGATGCACTAATACATCGGCATTGCGATTATCAGTCAATACACGCCTCACGTCGATACGACTTACACGTATACGTAAACGCATGCCGCCGACTCTCTGTACTGCGTGTGCTCATATTTGGGTACACGTTAAAGAACCCCAGGTGGTCAAAAGTTTCGGAGCCCTCCACTACGGCGTCTCTCATAATTATATGGTGGTTTTCGGACGTTAAACCCCAGATATCAATCAATCATCATGTCTGTACTGCACCGCGCTGAGGCTCTAACATGGCAGTAGGCACACGATGCCTGACAGATGGCGGCGACATTGCATCAGGTTTATAGCCAAAACAATTTCATTGCAAGAAAATTTTCACGTAAAAAAATGTTTAGCCTTCTGGTCCGTTGTAGTAGAAATTGTGAAATACTGTAGAAACTGTGAAGTATTGAAAATGCCTTCGAAGAGTCTAAGAGTTTCTATATTGCCATCCAGACGTTCGAAAGCCATGCTAAACGAGGAAGTACGCGGTATAACTTGAGAAAATGTTTTGAAAACTGCACGAGAGTTAGGATTTCAGATGTTTTCCTCCATAAGCTGATACCTGCCCCGCCTAAATGGTCTAGTGGCTAAGGTACACGGCTGCTGACCCGCAGGTCGCGGGATCGAATCCCGGCTGCAGCGGCTGCATTTCTGATTGAGGCGAAAATGTTGCAGGCTCGTGTGCTTAGATTTGGGTGCACGTTAAAGAACACCAGGTGGTCGAAATTATCGGTCTTCACTACGGCGTCTCTGATATTCACGTGATGGTTTTGGGACGTTAAGCCTCACGTACCATCCACGTACCATAAGCTGATACCTACTACAGCATAATTACTTTCTTTCACTATTAGAGGTATAGAATGAGTTCAGTCAATATTGTGGTAGTTTTGTTAACGTGGCTTAGGTTCGTTCAGTGTTAGCGGAACTGATAAAACACAGTAAAATAAAAAAAAGTGAAATGATATTAGCGTAAACCAGAAAATAGTAAAAAACTTCAGCTTGGCTTACTTACGCTGATTTCTGATCGATATCGGCCAATTTCTACCTCCGCTAGATTCCAAATCCCTTCTTCGGGCGTGTCACTCAACGCACTGAGAGTCCACACGGGAAAAGTGTAACCGTCAACGACCATGTAGAGGTCGACATCCATAGTCGTTCCTAAAAAAATGGACGAGACAAGTATTAGGCTCACAACGCTGTTGATGTCTCCCGTGCATGTGAATGGTCCTCTTTTGTGTGTAACACAGCTCGACAGTTAAGACAAAACAAAAACTACCTACCTACCTACCTACCTACCTACCTACCTACCTACCTACCTACCTACCTACCTACCTACCTACCTACCTACCTACCTACCTACCTACCTACCTACCTACCTACCTATCTATCTATCTATCTATCTATCTATCTATCTATCTATCTATCTATCTATCTATCTATCTATCTATCTATCTATCTATCTATCTATCTATCTATCTATCTATCTATCTATCTATCTATCTATCTATCATGTGCTATCGCGTCCATTTCATTCCTTTTACATATACCAAAATACGCAAAGCATGACATGAGTATATGATAACGATTAGTGAGAGCTCATTGCTTGAACACTATTCAATGTGCCTTGCTACGTGCATAATGCAGTCTTGGTGCTCTAGCAGTTGCTCTTTTGATTTGATGATTAAAAAAACCGGTGTGACAAGAGTGAAAAAAAAAACGGAGAGAAATTACAGGTATTACGACAGAAGTATTACGTCATTCCTGTCTTAAACGCAATGGCAAGGCACTGGGCTCTCACATCCACTTCATTATTAACAAATATTAAACTGATATCGGATGAAGTAATGTATGAAGAAGACATAACAGGTCTCCACTTGGATATCTCGTCATGCATGTGATGGCATATATATATAAACGTACGGTTTTATTGCTATAATGCTCGTTTCGTTATTTTGTGTGATGGAATTGGCATAAGCTAAGGCTAGAATATGAATAACATGAATTGTAAGTACTTACATGAAAGAGACCGGGTGCATGATAAGTGCGTTTAGAAATACATGACCAAGTGCCATCAAAATGTCTCATATATCAATTGAAGCACGCGTAAGAAAAATCTTAATGATATGGACGTCAGATATGACAAAAATATTCGTTAAATATATGTAATATCTGCCATAACACGAATACCACAAAGTACATGGTGAAAAATTCATGACGTAGTCGTTTCATTATGATCCTTCATACCAGAATGTAAATGCATGCCTGACAATGATGTGCCACTCATCACGCGGCGTGAAGAATATGGTTAGTCTCAAAACCCGTTATTGCACTCTTTCGGACAACAACGATGGCCGTGGTAATTGGGCTATGCCAGTTTTTTAGGGACGAAGATCCTTAAGGTGGTGGGTCTGTCCTTCCTCCATTGTTGTCGTACGTAGCCACCGGTGTCACATACCCGCTCTGTGGCACAGAGAATGTGAGATGGGAGATGACGACATTGGGAGTGTTCACTAGATGGACGTTTACACGGATGCATGGATTGACGTACGGACAGACAGACTAGCACACGGACGGACGGATGGATGAACGCGCGGATCGGGTATGTGCCACAGGGAATGCGAGATGCGAGATGGCTGTACTTGGAGTGTTCACTAGATGGACGCACGGATGGACGGACAGCTTTGCTTCTTTGTTTGCTTTCATTTGGGGTTGGTTGCCTTCACGAAAACATGTACAGCCTTAACTTGAGTTACCGACAGTGCGACATGTTAGGTGTGCGGCGCCGAAGGCGACGTCGATCATCTGCTATGCCAATGCCCTCAATTTGCCCGTGAGAGCCGAAAACTTTTTTACGCGTTGCGAGAATAGGATGTGTGACCACTTTCTCTGCGAATGCTGTTGCAGCGCCATCCTCGTCTTCGTCGGAAAACAAGGCAGTCAAAGCCTATTGCGCTTACCGAGGATGACGGGCCTATGTGAACCGCTTTGAATTTCGCATTTAGCACCACTCCAAACACGCCAGCTCATTGACAGACAATACTATTTATCTCTTTCTCTTCTCTTTCCTCTCCCTCTCTTTCTCTCTTCTTATACTCCTCTTTCTTATTCTCAGAGCATAGGGTAGCAAACGATGCATGGCCCTGGTTAACCTCTCCGCCTTCTCTCTTGTTGTTCTTGTCCTTCTTTCCTGAGCGCGAACACGCGAGTGCTTGCACATGCTCTGCAGAGGCAGGCGCAACCGCAGCATTCACCAAACAAAACAAGTTATTGTGCCAAGACTCATAATGTTAAATCGTCTTCTACTTTATTTGACTTCAGTTATTTGCATTACTAAAAGGGATAAAGTTTCGCTCTCGTTGTACTGCCTTTTCTCAAAGAGTAATAACATTTCTTAACTACCACACTTACTACGCTCTTGTCCCTGTTACTGTGGTGGCCATGTAAATATGCACAATACTTCCAACAGCACTAATCTATGAAGCAAGGTCAACAGCTGGGCTAATTCTTAAGGTTCCATTGTGGTTAAAACAGAGAAAAACAACATAGAAAGGCACGGGTCAACAAAGCAGGCGCAACGAGCGCTCACTCGCAATTCAGAGGTTCATTAGATCAATGTTACAAAGCCTTCAAACTGCGAGTTACGTTAAGCGCGGCCACATGCATCCCTAGTGAACTTTCAGCGGATAACACTGCACTTTTTAGCAAATCACTCAGATTTACTAGATTTCTATACGTCCCCATCGGCCTGGGAGAACAATGAATGTAGCTGCGGAAGCAACTGCACTGCCCTTAGGAGGAGATAAGTGACCGGACAGCTACAAAGGTTGCTTCAAGTATGCGCCGAGATTGCTGCTTTAGCGCCAAACCTGCTTCCGTCGAAAAATAAAATAATTGTGTTGCTAAGATCTTGACTTCAGATAAAAAAAAAAGGTGTTGTTGTTGTACTGTACTCGAGGATGCCCCATCAAAAATGAAAAGCATTTGAAGAAATACAAAAGAGTTTTCAGTTTACTTCACTTAAATATAAATGGGTGAAAGAACGGCCCTAGTGCTTCTCGATAAATTTAAACTCACCAAAACTGATAGCCAAGTTAGGAATACAAAGGGTCGGCATGTGGAAAATTCTTTCACTGTGCACAAAACTAAGCCCAGATGAGAGTAAATGACTTGTCCTCTATATGCATGCGCAGATGGGTGCTTCACAAACACCACCTGAAGGCAGTGAAAAACTTACTCCCTAATAGGACCGTGCATGTTTTGGATTAACTTAGCGGAGTATTTATTTACATTCATCGGGGAACATCTTGACGTAAGTATGGTAGTACATTTTTACAGCCAATAAAAAATATGTCCGCAACCGTACCGTGCGCAAGCGTATCTTCAATTAAATCACCTTTGATGATCAGCATACACAAACATGCACACAACGTCCACATAACATTACAACACTCACACGAATCGCGGCTCGCCTCTCGCGGTTCACTTCTCTTGAGTCGCCGTGTATATAAGGCAGGCATTTCGACCTCTCATGTATCTCTGAGGGGAGCCTATTTTTACGAATAATTAAGTAATAAACATTCACGGTGTAGGTTTAAATTCGTGGGGGACCTCTTGGAAACTCTTCAGCACACATGCCTTTTTCCTGAAGCCACCTAATATAAGCTGCCTTTTAACTATAGCGAAACTTAATTATCAGCTGGTGCTCAGTTGGATGAACTGAATGCGCTATAATTAGTTGATAACTGTGGTTTAACGTCCTAAAACCACCATATGCTTGTGAGAGACGCCATAGTGGAGGACTCCGAAAACCTCGACCCCGTGGGGTTCTTTAACGTGCACCCAAATCTAAGCACATGGGCCTAGAACATTTCCGCCTCCATCAGGAATGCAGCCACCGCAGCCGGGATTTGATCCCGCAACCTGCGCGTCAGCAGCCGAGTGCCCTAGCCACTAGACCACTTAAACAGGGCTAAATTCACATTAGCAGTACTGTGAGTTAACCCGTAAAATGCACTAAATTGTACAAAAACCCCTAGTGGTCGGGCATGACCACTTCGACGGCACACATTCAGCAGCACCAGTGAAGAACCAAGGTGACGCCGCTACCACGATGAATGACAGATGGCGATCACAGATTCTTGGTACTCTGCAGTTTTTGTCGTCGGTATTTTTCACATGCACTGAAATAGGTAGCCGCTACCCATGCACTTTAAAATACGGAGCAATAGACCTAAATTAACGAGACATTTGACAGGCGTGGTTCCTGTTGCTTGCAATGCATTCATGGGCAGGCATTGGTGCTAGGGTATGCTGGTTCTGTTCGCCTCTGCCTCGTTTGGCACTTGCCTTCGTGTTAGTCATTTGGCAGATGCATCGCATGGCGTAGAAAAGAATTTCAACAGTTAATTATCCCAGCAGCCTTTCTTTTCTGTGAAACACATTTTTTTGCTTCCCCGGTGGCAGATGCTAGCTCGTAGAGGTCGCCACTGCGGCCGGTGTGGCAGTGCGAGCTCACCACGCTGCCGGCTTGATACGGACAGTATAGCGCGGCCTTCATGCCGCTTATAAGTTGCAGCCGGTGATATACCAGCGACACATCGAGAAGCCACTATCGCCGGCGTTCGGGTTGAATGCATCACCGGAGCAGCTCTCACACTGACCACCGGCCTGCAGCTTGCTATCTTCGGAGGTCAATTGAAACCTATTCGGATCGCTTCGAAGTTTTAGACGGTGAAACTGCAGAACCAGCCGTTGACAATCGCAACAGCTTACTTTTGTGACCATTGAAATAATTTCTCACAATTCTTTGTAATTCGGTACGTAAAGGCGACGTATTCGCATTGTTTCGTTGCGGAGTTGGGCAGTTGTTCAACGTTGTTGTTGTACATTGTTCGACGTGTTCAGCGTGATTAAACAGGAATAAATACTTTGAAACGTTCTCACTAAACAACAACCGGTCGTTGCAAATCTTCGTTGCGCTGATAGTTTTATTGTCGGTCAACACATGGTCACGTGGTCACCCATACAAGGCACTGGAGTTTTACACTGGCGTGCTAAACAGATGCCTGTGCACACACAAACACACACGCACGCAGCACGTCCCTACCAAAAAGCGTCTTTAAAACTCCCATAGGGAGTTTCTAACCACATACCCTGAATCTCCGTTTGACAAGTTTACCAAGGGCAAGTCATTCGTAAGCACCGTAATTAAGCAGGGGGCGTTTCAGGACAACATTTGCCTAGTTCTCTCCGTTACCACAGAGTACGTAGTTGGGGCACGGCAGTTTTGGGAGCAATGTTGGAAAACCTCCCATATCGGCTAATTTATGCTTACAGTGTAGAAAAACCCAAAAAACACTCCCTTCGTGCAATTAGTGTCTGAACGTAGACCATGACTACTGTTGTTTGCAGCTATCTGCAGAGACGTCTACGAAGACCTACTGTGGCCGACCTGTCTCGGTTGCCGACTATCTCAATGATAGCGACCCAGGTGCACGCTCTGCTTTCAATATTCCCGTCAAAAATATCATTTAGTCTTTGCCACATGACCACCTTTTACAAAATGTGAAGCGATGTATCTGTTAGGATAACGACGCAGTTTGTTTCTGCGATAAATCCGGCATCTGTGTTGAAGGTGGTGCAGATAGATACCCTTAAATTATCCGGGGTTTTGAAGAGTTTTGAACATATGTCTTCACACCAATTTGGAGCTTCCGAGATGTTGAGATATTAAAACTGCTTATCATACTTTTGCATTTTTTGGCCAATAAATTTGCAATTCATCAAGTTTTCTCCGCAACGATGATGGCACACTTGAATTGAGTTGTCTGTTTGTATTTTTTGCGCATGTTTTCATCTAATAAACATTTCAGTTGCGAGCAAACCTCCTTTGAGCCTCTTGTCTTCATCCATGTTGTTTGCGCTCGTTTTGTCAGAAGTCTATATTTGATGTTTTATTCCGTTTTCTATTTTAATTCACTGCTTGAACGCAATATTTTCGTGCACCATAATAATATTGAATTCCAAATATGAACATGATATTGTTAGAAAGCTGCTTTCGCAGAAATTGCGGTGTCGGTGTTAGCATTGGCGTCATTAGTTGTGAGTGAAAATTGATCATCTTATGCATGACGGAAAATTCAGGAACGATGCAAAAATCAAATAACTGTGAAAAATTCTGGGTCAGGTTGGGGACTGATTTAAGGTCATTTGGATCCGAGTGGAGACCGACCCCGGGTCTTTGGCGTTGCGAGTGGAATCGGTACCACAAGGACACGCGTCTGCTTGTGAAAGCAATGAAAAGAACTTCCTCTGCTTGGAAATGCAGTAAAAGTAGCTTTCATGATTCACAAACACACGCGCCTTGTATACATGCTATGCAAAATGAAATTTGCAGTATAATGCGTGGTACTAGGTGCCATAGCCTACAGGAATCAGCAAACGCGATTAACATAACGGCTTCGTGGTTTAAGCCGGCTACCCACTACAAAAGGCACACATGCTACTGCGCAAATTGCTTTAAGGCCACGTAGTGGGTGCATAGCAAGTTCGCAAAGGTTTCATGCACCGAGTGTGTGCTCTAGAAACAGGAGTGTGCTCTAGAAACAGGTATGCTCTAGAAACAGGACATCACTATCGCGTTCAACTCCTAAAGTAGAAGCTTTAGGTACTGCTAGCTTCTTTTGTAGTTATCTTTTACTCATTCGCTAACCAGAACGCTGCCAATATCCGCAAGGCTTTCGCAGGAGCAATAAAAAGTATTCTTGCATCTCCACGAGTTGAATGATGACGAGTGAGTGAAGGCTGGGTCTTATGATCCAGCTTATTTTATGATCCAGCTGGGTCTTATGATCTATGAATGCCTAAATTGAGGTTGCCGACTAGCATAAAGGACGGACAGGTGGACGGACAAACGGATACACACACGCACGAGCGGACAGATGCACAGATGGACAGGCGTTTGGAGGAGGTGATTTTGTATTGTGCGGTCATATACTTGATTGAAAAAAGTAGGCTTTTACACTGGTCGTTTTTAAGAGCAAACTCCTTAAGACGTCCTGTCGTGATCGTATGCAGCCACCTCTCGTTAGCTCTTGAACCGGCCGTAGATGGTGGTACTTGTACATATAACGAAATGCATATACGCTGAAAAATGCAAATGCTACAATACTAGAGGACGTTATTTGTAGTTTGACAAATAATAAAAATCACAGCCTATTCATGGATTGAATGATAATGAGTGGAGCGAAGCGTCCGTCATTCCTTCCGCCCTTTCGGCCGTCCGTTAGATCGTGCTTCCGTCTATCCGTTCGTACGTGCGTATATCCGTCCGTGCGTTCATCTGTGCTTCCTCCGTCCATTTGTGCGTCCGTCTGTCCGTGCGTCTATCCCAGCGTTCGCCCATGCGTCTGTCCATCCGTGCTTACTTCCATACTGTATGTCTGTCCGTGCTTCCATGCGTCCGTCCATTCGTGCATCTGTCCATCCATCAATCCATCCATCCATCCATCCATCAATCCGTGCGCCCGTTCGTACTCTCATTCGTCTGTCCCTGCGTCCATCCCTGCGTTCATCCGTGCGTGTGTCAAACAGACAGACAGACGATGGACGAGCGCGGCCAGGGGATGATTCACGGTTTGCCGATAAAAAAGTGTGATACGTGCGGATTGCGCTCGAATACAGAACCCCGATGTGTGAGCGCGCGAGAAAATAGAAAGGACGTCACACGAAGACGTTGGCGATCGCGTGTTCGTCAGTGGTGTTCTACGCTAGGGGGCACGGTATAGCAAAATGAAAGCCGTCTTGGCACGTACGTGCCATCAGAGGGTTGGCGGGTGGACAAGGCTGCAGAGTGCCGTGCGCGCAAGGTGATGGCGGCTCACACTCGAAAACGGAACCCTAATGCGCAAAAGCGCGAGGCAGAAACGTGCCGTGAAGCTGCGCGGCGGCACCGACAAGATCCTGGCGTACGAGAACGGGAGGCCGAAGCGACACGGCAGCGGTGTGCGGACAAGGCTTCGTTCCACTCTCCATCATTCACCCCGTGGATATGCTGTCAATTTTTTTGTTGTGCGGATATTCAATTTGAGTTTTGGTTCTGCCGATTACGGTGGCCAGACAACATTGTGAGGTCTTAAGATGCTTCGCCCCTAAAAACTAGACTAAAAGGTATTCGACAAAACTATTCGTTTACGTACACACTACTACATCACGTTTATAACTCTATGATGGAGTACATTTATTAGCTCTAACACACAATGTGAATGGCACTAAAATGCATTGTTAGTTTTCTTGCTTAAACAATTGCTGCATTTTGTTCTGTGAAAACAGTGAGAGAACGAAAACAACTCACTAATAAAAATAGAACAACCTTGACGCGCATATTTACTACATTAATGCCACGGTAAATGTCACTACCAATCTTTTCTGCTGCTGTGTGCCCTAGACAAAAATACTAGTGATTTTGGTGCTAAACGATTCTGCAAATTCATGCTGCACACTCCGGGCATCTTCAGTCATAGCTTTACTGAGCTACAAAATTGGACGCCAAAGGAGGCAGACATCTGATTTTCATGTGGCCCTGACAGGCTGAATTTTGATTGTAACAATCCAGACAGAGCCACATCTTACATTACTGACCGAACTATAGTAATCGCTAAAACGTTATGAGCTTACATGAGTCCAGGCTGAACCAAATATTATTAGGCACCCAATAATGAATGGCACTTACACTAAGGTACTCACCATTCATTTGATAGTTGAACGAAAACGAGAGAGCACAATATTTGTTGGTGTTCCTGATCACCGGAGAATCGATGATTGCTCGCCCGCGTCTTCTTGTCAGCCTCGTGGAATTTGAAGAAAAAAGAAGGTAATATCCTGAAACACGAGATATGTCCACTCTTTTATCTATATCTCTACACTATTTTCTATCCTCATAATTGTTGGCTATCAAAAATAGGGAGAACACAATTACTCAAAGAAATTTTACTGGTGGTGCCAGTGAAGTTTAAGGACCTTGCTGCCTGACGTGTATGTATAATTTTATGAATACTCGCTACAGAATGGGCTAGCCTCTCCGGCCCGACTTCAACAGCGACTAACTGAAGAATCAGTGATATTGTTTTTTTATAAATATTGCATATATTCCGCACTCAAATTTACGGGTCAATCAGCACAAATGGCATGGCCATTTAGTCATGTCTCCTAAGTTCTTGAATGAAATTATATTTTTACTTGATCGTTTCTCTGTGAAAAGTCAGAAGCAACGTGTGCGTTGTTTTCTTTCTTCTTAAAGGAAAAACCAAAGAAACGTATTTTATTATCTTAACCTATACAATTTTTATTAAGCTTGAAACTCACAGTTTAGAACAGCATATATTGGCACACGAGGCGCCCACGACGTTTTTTTTTTCTATTAAAAATTTCCTTTGACTGAAAATAAACGTTTACAGTGTTGGTCACTACGGCACATATTAATCCGGAAGTGAAACGAGGCAGCTATATGGCAAAGAGTGTATACCACCTCACAAAAGTAATAACTTGAGTTTTACGCACCAGAACCCCTGATATGAAGAATTGCGGCACCACAGCAGAAACCCACAGAAATTTCCACCCCAATTCAGTTGACCAACGTTTAGCTAAAACACTGTTTATGCGCGTCCAACATTTTGCTTCGATTTCAACGCCAACAGCATGAACAGCATCTAATTCACAATCTGATGAGCAGCCGAGTGCCATAAATAGTACGACGGCTTGGCATATTGAATGTCTTCTGAATGAACGCTATGAATATTGTAGCCAATGTCGACAGGAGAACTTATTAATTTAGCTCATCATTTTCGCCTTACTCATATCGTTCCATTCGTCCCTTTATTACCGTGCTAATTGATGAATCATATGGTCCTTGATGTCAAGACGGGGTGGTTTTATTTCATTTGATGAATTATGCTGCGATTATTTAACAAGTATCGCAACAGACAGCGAACCCTGTGCTCTGAATATTCCCCTGAATAACTTTCCAACACTATAAAGCCATGTGTGCGCACATGGCTTTACGAACTTCCCCAACAGTGCCTTGCGCATAACGTTGCATTAGAGCCAAGTCCAACTTTGCGATTCTGCTGTTATCAGCGTATATCGGTGTCTCAAAAATGGAGCTCGTTTGCTTCTCACTTAAGGCCTGCAGCTTCAGAAGAACTAATGCTTTAGGACTTTAGGCTAAATTGTACTGGTACTATTTTTTGCATACAGTGATTAACAACGTTTTGTTCAGTAAGCTGCAAGGACATGATAGTTTCAGTATTTTTAGGCCCTCTATGCGCTCCCTATGAGCTGAAACCCTAGTGTGGAACAAAAACTGTAAATCCCAAAATCGGCAACCCAGATTTTAGTAATAGTGGAGACTGCCATTGATATGTTTCTCAAAAAAAAAAAAAACGTCAACTCCCCTTCAGATATTACCCTGTAGGAAATCTTGTGCAGGCCTCTCTTTAAAATCGGGACGTCAGGTGATATCTTTTTCAGGCTCATTCCATTGCCTCTCTCACACATTTCAGTTTACCAGTCCTAGTAGAAATAAATTTGGCGACCGTGGTCCACCTGAGGTGCGGTCGAGACCCATGGCATAGGTTATTCGAGTTTCATGTATTTCACCCATTTAGCAAGAACGCACGCTATATTCTATTTTAATTTTGACGGACTCTGTAGAAAAAAAAAACTCGCAAAAAGAACGAATGCTTATAGAAAAAATATTAGAAACGGCATAATCGGGTATTTTGCCAACAGAAGTTAGAAATTGTCATAAAAGTTTCTCACGCTCAATTGCTTGCAAATAACTACTGGAAAATCTTCAATAGAGGAGTTAATATTAACACGAGAAATACTGTCACTTTATATGCAACGTACAGCAACACGCATTTTTTTATTGTCATATAGTGTGTTGGCATACTGTAACACCTTGGGAATAGTTGGGGACACCCTGTAAATGTGCCGTTTGTTTTCGTTCGCCTTGAAGTGGTGAAGAAGTGAATGCGTGTATGTACAATGCTTATATTGACATATAAAATAAAAAAATTTAAGATAGACTGTATTTCTGTCTTATCTTGTTAGAGAAAGCTCACACAGCAAGTTGAAACAGAAAAATTAGAAAACCGTGGTGTGTAACCCGGCATAAGTTATAGTATTCTTCCTTGAGTGCTAAAATCCGTGAAAGTCGTGTGATTACATAATGCCGGTAGGTGATTATTTAGAGCAGCGGGCTATATACTGCTCGTGGCCTTTATTCTTTTTGTTCTGCTCACACTTAACTCATCAAACGAGCAACGGGAGCGGTTGCCTTGAAGAATGCCCTATCAACATGATATCATTACATGATGGACACCGAGTTTCAGCACTCAAGAAGAGGACTAACTCACACTGGGTTTTCCACCACTGTTTAAAAGAATTGGTGGAGGCGTTATTAAATTTTTTCGGAGATCAACGCAACCTAGATAACGACCACGTTGCTGGACTAAACAAAGTGTCATGCCATACGTACAGTGCGTCCCACTCAGGACCAAAAAGATTGCTGTGTGAGTCGCAGTATTGGTCGTATTTTCATAACCTAACCAATGAGGGCGAATATGGCAGACTTGTGGATAGTGAAGGAATCAGGTATTCCATGAGGAGCACAAAACTCACTTATCAGTTTGTAAAGCCTATTTTGTCGGTGTTGTGTGCGAAGTCCCTTTGTGATGTGGAAGAATCTACATAGGCGACTGTTCAATGAATCAACATTTGTCTTAAGGAGCTGGACAACAACATTTCCCACAAGCAAGGGCCCAATCTCACTCTGCACTGTGCAGCCTGTGAGTGCCGTTTATATTTTTGCGCTTGTGGTAATTTGAGCAAGCATCGGAAAGAAACCGCACTCTTGGTATAGGAAGCTTGATCATTCACAAAATATGTTCGTCGTGTGCCTGCATGCTATAATTATCTCTGAAAATAGGAGATATCAAAGTTCGGAAGTCACCTGGTGGCTTTGCGAGCTTGATCATAACCGAAAAGGTACTGTCACCAGTTTTGTTAAAGGATTCTCTTCAGCCAATTTTCTTTCTTTTGATTATCAATACGTTTGAGCCCTGAGAAGAGAACCAAGCCCCATTTAGGATAGAATGGGGTGGGTCAGTGAATCTGGTCTGTAGTTCTTTGGAATAAATTGCAGTAAATTAAGTAAATTTGTCATTCGTTTGACAAAAATTGAAAAACTTGGTATTTTGCAGTGCTGTGCCTTGGAATATACTACTCATCTTGAACACAACTCAAACTCTACTTAGGGATGTAAATGTTAGGTGGAGTGCTGGGGCTGCCAGGAGGAGGACAATGAAGAGCACGCTTGAACTTGGCGTGGTCGCTAGGGCCGGAACAGCCAGGGTATGGTGCGTGACCATTTGAAGTCTTTTTCTCTGACTGTGCCTGGGTTATTCGGCCTGTACAACGCGGACACACAACGTAAGGCCTCAAATGTCGGCACAAGTCAAGTGGCTGGACGGGAGCCCACAAAGAAGACAAAGGGTCAGGAGAGATCCCGGTCAGGTTGACACATCTAGCAGGTGCCCGAGCCACATGCCGCAGGCTGTTCCTGTTTGTCTTCCATAGCTCAGCCGTAGACTATGCTTTGAACAGATAAAAGGCGGAGAAGAGGCCGATGGTCCCCATATAGGCTAGCTTACGGAGAAGGGGCCGAACGCCCCCTCTCAGCTGCCGTTTATTGGTAAGCTACTCTTATAGTTGGCATGACAAAACGAGGACAATCAAAAAAACACATTCGGAGGCAATAAGAACCATCAATGAAGTGAGCATGTTCCAATAAGATAAAAATAAAGAGAAGCATAGCACTGCACGGCACAAAGACACATGCGAGCCCCTCGACTAAACAAATCAATAAAAGTTTCTTCAAGATTAGATCCGTCAATCATTAGTTTAAAACAGTTGAAAAACACGGTTATAAATCGTGCAAAAGTTCATTAAAAAAGACTGACAGTGTGTTTTATTTTCAGACGAACTAATGCGTTATATTATTTTTGGCCTGCATATTTACGCCGATATATGAGTGTCTGGTGATGCTGTGACAGTACTGGCCAACTTGCAGGTACCGCACTAGTTCCAGAAAACATGCTCCGATTTCTGCGAGAACTCACCTGTGGGTTTATCGTACGCTCCTGTGGTAGGGGAGCCATCGACTTCGCCCATTCTTTGGCGACGCCATGCTGTCGTGCCCCTGTTTAGGGGACCTTCGGCTTTCCAGCCACACAAGCCATCGCTAAAGTCACATTGGCCACAGTTCCGCTCGTCGTCGCCGTTCGCACAATCCTTCACGAAGTCACAGACGCGCTCTATTGTGATGGACTGGTTGCCGCAATCGAACCTTTTTGTTGACCGTACTGTGTGGCGAAAGAGAAAAGGGACAATAAAATGACTAAAGCGAGACATTTCCTCTCAAAAAAGAATAGCACGGACAAAAAGGCCATTGAGCTTTGAGGAAAATGTTTGTCAACTGATTTCCCATACCGTGTACCTGAACTACGCGGTGAAAGCAACTGTAGAAGCCGTGAGCCAAGTTAAACATAATAAAGAAGCGTGAGTGAGGACATAATACCTATATATATATATATATATATATATATATATATATATATATATATATATATATATATATATTTGAAACTTTCTTGGAGTACTGAACAAAGTGTTTAGGGAATGGGCATAACTCATTGACCAAAATAACGCCTTTTAGGTGGGGTTACTTTTCATGAGCCTAAATCATCATTATTAGTACATTCTTCTGCCAAAAAAAGAGTTCTAAAAGAATTCATTTGATTCATAAGTACTTTCTGAAGTTTATCACCACACCCTACCTACGGTTTTCTCCAGCTACGCTTCTCATCTCGTGGGATCTCTTTTGTCACTTTTACTGATCATCCTTGTCTATACTTTGTATTGAGAGGAAGGACCAGGCAAACTTTTTTCTGCTATTGCCAGCAAGAACACCCGTCACTCATATTTCTTGAATGGTCCATTCTTCACCATTTCTATCTCCCGATGTTAGGCATGTCACTACTTCATTCCCACTCAGTTTACCTTTCAATTTGCATTGAGTTTCTCTGTTATTTCAGTAGTTTCTACCCCAACTATTTATAATCAAAACTGCTTCTTAAAATCAAAACTGCTTCTCAAAACACGCTTCTTATCGCTGAAAATATAAATAAGAAGAATACGTGATTTCTAGGTCAGGTGGTTTCTTGTGGCAAGTTTTCCAATTTTCCACAGAGTCGCTACTCTTCCGAGGGACGACGTACTTGGTTTTACCGAACAGCTTGCTAGCAGTGATTATACACATATTTGAGGAAGAGAAGGGTATATTTAAGGGCTTGTTTTCTTTGTTAGACGCAATAATAATGAGAATTGACAGAAAATTATGCTAAGGAAAGTATATGGGCTTGCAATAAAACTGTTGTTCATCCTGCCTAGGTTCTCCACAGCATGAAATACATAGGCACTTCGGAGATTGCCGATGTGAAGATGAATCGGCTGCATAAAAAAACCAGACCTCAAAGTATTGTCTTCATCTTTCTACTAGAGCGAAAAGTATTTGCATTCGGAGAAAAGCGTTTAAGTAACGTTCTTGGGCCTGTGGATAGGCGATTGAGATAAATACTGCTGTAACTATAAACAATGCAGTTTAACCAAAGCCACCTAGAAAATTTTTTGGTTTAACAGAGCGCATCACTCTTTAGCGTGACATAGATTACTGTATTTTCACGTATATTACATGTATTCATATGCACAAGGTAAAGATTGCTAGCATTGCACTTGATCGGCTCTCGATGCTTCTCAAATAAAGAAAGTATTCAAGTTTTCAACACAGCTCAATAAAAGGCGACTGGGAGGAGCAATAGCGTACGCTTTCTGCAAGGCTAGATTGACTTGCAACCCGCAACCTCCTCCTTGCCAAATGGTATGCAATCTAGAACAGCACTAATATATGTAGCACAGAGTGGAAAAATGTTGGTTAGATTTAGAGGAACTCATCATAGTGTATGTCCACCGTCCTGGTAATTCGGCTTGTGTCAAAATTGTCTTAAACCTAGACAATCTTACATTGCAAGGCAAAGTATGTATTTTTACCTCTCACTCCTCATTTTTCACATAATGCTGGCTAAATAATTTCTAAGATGCAGTACTGAAAACCGCGGTCAATTATAGCAACATAGTAGATACAAATCGACAAAAATAGCAGTTACGAATGACAAAAGACTGGATGGAGCGAGAAAGTGGACATAAAATGAGCTCGAACGAGAAACAGTTGGAGATCTTTCAGAAACATTCGTTGTGCTGGTACGGTTGTTACAAAGCTCGCTGCTCACCGTAAATGCTCGATTGTGGGGACACCATGTCGTCCACATGTTAATTAATAAACATGCTAGAAGCCCTTGTATTGAGTTTGAGATGCACGCTGAAAACAGCAGGTGGTGCAAACTTCCAACCTCCTCCACTTCAGCACGCCTCATTGTCGTATTGTTGTTGGCCACTTAAAAACGTATTAAGTATTATCCCGTCTACAAAGGGTGCAAAAACATCATGATGATGTTCGATATTGAAATTTGTGCTGATTTTGGCAATTGTTGTCACCATTGGTGCAATTTGTTTATGCACTCTCTCTACTCGATGACTGGGAATAACAGATTTTTCATAACTGTAAATTAAATCACGTTGTCAGCCACAAGGATTGTGTATTCCTTTGACTAGGGCTTGAGCATATTAGTGTTTTTTGCTTTGAAAGAATAAACGTATATACTTCCACGGTGACCAATATATTCAGTTTTTTATTGGAACAAAAAGAAAGAAAAAAGTAATCGTTATTGAACTATACTGATGACTATAAGACAAATAGTTCTCCGCAAACTAGATGAACGATGGCATAATAAATAACTTATTTTACATCTCTCCTAAATGGCGTCAGACACAATTTGCATAAACTCATTATATGTATTACTGTGTGTTCCTGTATATGGACAAAAAAAGTCGTGTCCAAAATAAAGAGAGGTGCCGTCGCACCACTATTAGGTTCTTGTTACAGCTCATGAGCATAAATCCATCGATTCTGGTTGGCAATGTACGCTTTATATGAACGAAAGAGGGAAACTTTTTTTTTGTTCTCAGGAGTTTGTTTATATGATAGATGCAACCAAGTCAAGATTACATTCAAATAGTTTGCAAAGAGCATAAATGCATTAAATGTTGTTTTTAACTGTAATGTGTTAAACGCGATACAAACTGGAAAAAACGTTTAACTGAACGAAAAACAAGCCATTGAATTAGGTTTTCTCTATTAATTTTTTTCACAGTTGACGTCTACTTCAACCAATCCAGTTGATTCTACATCTCTGAGCGATAAGTAAGTGATAATCTATCAATGAAAATTCAGTTCTGCTAATTTGGGACTCGAGCGGAAACTCACGTTTACCTGTAAATCACGCGGATAAACATGGGACCTGTTTTCCTGTACTGTTTTTGGCTCGTTCTGTGTCATCCATGGAAAAACCCCAACATACCTTTTTATTGGCAGTAAAAATTGCAGGGCGCTTGATAGATTTTTGTATACAAGTGTAGGTCACGAAAGCTTTGTCGGCTCTTGTGCGCATCGCCTTCTGAACTGCCGAACTGCGTCTGTTTTGGTGCAGGCTTCAAGCGTTCCGTAAGGAAGCGAATGGCTGTGCACGTAACGTTGTCCGTTGCAAAGTAATATTGAATGGCTTTTGTAAGCCCCAGTTGTTAAGTCCCCACTACGCTACAATTATTCCTTTAAGGAATCAGCGAATAGCTCACTATGGATCCGCGCGAATGCACGAAGCTGCGCAGCTGTTCCCTTTGGTGGTGGTTCTGCTCTGCTCTTGATTAAATATGTCTGAGCACTTTGTGACGGTTGCGCCTTCGAAACAGCCACGCATCGCTCAATCGACAACTTTTCCCGCCTGACACGATTGTACACTTATGTCACACAATATAGCCCATAACGCTTTAAGGAGACTGCCCCCCTTCCCCACGTTACCTTCGTATAGTGCTTTTTCGGAATCAGTTAAACAAATATCATCGCTCTGTAGCAGAACTGCTTACCATGCGGACGGCTGGGTTCCACACTCACTAGGACATGGATATGTTTATTATTTATGTTATTGCATATTTCTCAATTTTGGCGCCACGGAAAAACGATGTGTCGCTCACAACCATTGGAGTCAACGTCAACACTAGAATATTTGGGAAAACAGCTCTTTAACCCAATCGCCTTAATATATGACGTTTTAGGTGCGAAAAAAACTACAATACGCGTGGCCACATCACATTCTTAACTGTTATTTCCTCCACAGTTTTAATGTCGGCATACTTTAGACACACATATGCTGGGAAAGGAAGGCGTATGCCTATGTTTTCATTTGCTTGTGTTATGGCGCTCAAACCAGTGTCCATTTTAGAATGGGTGCCATACGTTCCCTATGTCGAGCCATTGCTGCTCTACGACTAAACAAAGCAGCGTCTAAACATGCAAAAGTTAGGACATCATCTGTTTGGAAAACGTATTCAAGCACCAAAGCGTTCGCTTCGGCCAATGTTTGAACTGCTTCGCTATTAAATTAGTCCACCCATGCTTGCATATGCCGGTGTCTCTCACTACGATTCAGAATGTCCTGACCCGCAGTATCTACCTAAGAACGAAGTTGTTGCTTGAATTAAGCTCGAAGGCGTGGGTTCAATTCGTGGCAACAGATGCACCATTTATGCCTGGGCGACATTAAACCAGATTGCTTAGACTAAAGCTGCGATAACGAACACCCTCTGATCAATATTTTTTGGTTGTATCTTACTATTGCATGCCTTAAAATTATATTCATCGTTGGAAGCGTGCAGAAAAGGCGTAAAATGAAAGAACTAAGAGACCATGCAGCAGCGAAGCAGCAAATCTTACTGGAGCCAAAGCTTTGATAATTGCACTTGTCACTCACAAGTGAAATACTGGATCCGGCAACTCTGTATTCAACAAATTCTCATCATTTCTTAATGATACCACAGTTAGAGCAAGGAAAACCTACATATTTTACTGGCTAATCCTTAAATCCTACGTTTATGCCCTTGAAATGTGGCTGTCTGTTTTTTGTGTGTGTGTTTGTGTGTGGATGTCTTTTGTGCGTTGTGCAGTTTTGTTAATGTGTTCTGAACTCTATATACGCTGCCATGTCATCAGCGATTGTTCCTATCTGTTTCAGCTTTTGTACTCAGGGGAAGCGTCACGCACATTTTAGGAGCTTGCTTTTTAGGCTCGGGGCTTGTCCATAGCCGCCGCCGCTTGTTCTCATTCCGCCCGCTAGCGGCACAGTGGTGCCCCCCCATGGATTGCAAGAGCACTCACTAGATAGCACACCTCTGCTAAAGTGGTGGTCCAATCTCGGCGCATGCTCTAGTTTGATTGGATCACGCTAGAGTGCCGCGTCCATGTATATCCCATGCTTTGGCCACGCTTCCTTTCTCTTTCGCCGAAAAGCACTCAGTGCGATTTGATACTACTACTCAGCTTCCACTATAAACACAGAAAATACCATGGCAGTGGCGCGATGTGCTTGCCATACGGCTGCGCCACGCGCTCACCGTCTATACCCTAAGGTAAGAGCTAGCGAGACCGAACGCTAAACCCAGTAGCGAGAAACCCAGCCCCAGAACTGAGGTGGCGCGCACCGAAGCAGCATAGGCTCGTCAATAAACCTACTCTGAGCCGAGGGCCTGCGAGGCTGAGCTGAGAGCCTGGATCACAAGGTTACAAGGGAAAGATTTAAAAGGGAATATATTGAAAGGGAAATATTCCTCTGAGCGTCAGATCATATGAATGACAACAATCAGAGGAACCCTTGTGGTATGTAATATGATATCTAAATATTCACATCAATATTTATATTGTTACATACTGCATCAATATGAAAGGTGCACTGTGCATATATAGTGTATATACAATCGCATCACACGTCCCGTGCAAATTCTTTGTATGATAATCGAGCGATTGCACGTTCATGGGTGGTTTACTTGATTTAACCCTTGGAGCCAGCTCGGTCATCATCAGCCTTAGTTCGTGCAAGCTACCCCTAGAAAAAGAAAACGTATATCATGATGTCAAAAAGCTCCTTGAAAATAAACGTGAACATTGTCTTCATCAAGAATGCAGAAACAAAAAAAAAGCATTTTGTAAATTTTATGCTGCCTTCATACCCTCAATACTTTTGATACAGTAAGGTTATTGTTATTGCTTCGCTGCAGAATAAAAAAAAACCGCTAGGACACTTCAGCTCTTCATTGCAAATATAAACGCCACGGCATTAAATCAGTGTTCGCATCAGAACGTTCAAATGCAGATTTCCAAAAATCATAACCAAGTGGAAAATCTTATAACAGGAGGTATAGATAGAGCCTGTGTAGCAACTTGAGCATGTATAGCAACTTGATTCAGCACGTCTATGACATCACATTGGAAACGCTGCTAAGAAGAGTCTGATTTCGAAAAAACACACAGCTACTGATGAGTGGAATTCCAAAAAGACATGCAATTATTGAGGCATAATACATATACATAAATTCTGCCTCTATGTGAGCGAAACATCCATTTCAACACATGAAAAATGAAGACTTTGTCAATAGCCTGATTCACTCTTGGTCATTTCCGCGAACCATGTGCCCTAATTGTACGTTATGATAGTGAATACCTTTAAAGTTTATCTGTCTGTCCGCACACATGTCCCCCTCCATCGTCTGTTTCTGGCGATGCACTTACACTTGTGTTGTGCTGTTGTATGGGCATTTTATTTGGAACATGATCGCCTCAGAACGTTTATAGGAGTGGCAACAAAATGCTGTTACAGTGAAGTACGACTACGCTCGCTGTTGTCGCAGAAAAATACAGTAACATGAGCTGGGAACAGTTAGGCAGCGTCTTATGCCCACAATCCTTTTTTGCTGGAGCACTTTTCAGTGATGCACCATGTCACAAAAATGGACACATCTTAAGGTATTAATTGTTTTCGTGCAGTCGGGCTACATCCGGTACAATTCAGTGTGTTGGTGCACATTTAACCCTTTCAACATTGCGATCTCTACCACCATCACGTAAGTTTAGCTGAAGTGTCGAATGTGTTCTCAGCCGATTTTCGTAGAACAATGTCTGTGTTCACGAACAATGCATGAGCTCTAAATTTGCAGCGTGGACGTCTTGTTAGCTACAAATTATTCAGACATTCTAATGGTCTAGTACGGCATTTTGCATGTCAGAGGGTTGTTAAATGAAATAAACACAAGATCTAAATACTTGAAATATTGAGAGATTTCATGGGTATACCTTAAAAGCACTGAAGTTTAGGCGAGTTTGCACTAGGAAATAGTGGCGTTTAGAGCGCTGTAAACAGACAAAAAACTAAGACGGAGCTACACAAAAAAGCACTCCCTGCAAAGAAAAGTTCATCGACAGCAAAAGCCACGTTTATTCTACACCGAACACGGAAATGCATGAGTGAAACTACAATCTAAAAAATGGAGGAAAGCCCTCACCTCAGAGTAAAAAAACAGGCAAAAAACCCACGCATCTCCTACGCAATGTAGACAATGTAGGATAAAGCGTGGCGTTTTCCCTAAATAAACTTTAGTTTCAACTGAGCACTCATCTGTAAACTCTATCTTTTGTGTTTATTTTTAATAACAGAATATAAGGAGAAGTTGGTGCCAATTCGTGGACACCAGCTACTCCTTTTCTCTTGCGCAAAAGTCGACATCGCATATTTTGTAGCAAACACATGCTATACATATGTACATAGCACAACGCTTACGCAATGAGTCCACGTCTTTCGAATACTGAGTGTCCACACCATTCATAACTGTGCCCACACTACATAGAAATGTCTCCACACCACACAGAGTTTGTAAAAACACAAGTAATTACACTGATTCAGGTTTTCACAGAAAACATGGAAGTTCGATAAAATGTGTTGGATGATCTTGTCTCTAAGTACTGAACTGTTTTCAGAAAGGTTTTCCTAAAGATATCGCAATGAAACACAAACATTATTTTGAACCATACCGGTTAACAATGACGATAATACTCTCTGTTCGTTGTAGTACTATTGAGCTCTTTCTGATTCCCCCAGAAAGCGAACGACTGCACGCGCTGCTGTGGCTTGTAGCTTTCTTTTCGGCCATGGACCCAAGACTCTTGCAATTGATGAAGGTCACTTATACAAAGAATTGGGGGGGGGGGGGGTTAGAAAAAGGGGGTAACGATTTAGAGCACAGGGTACTCTACTATGGGAGAGCTGAAAGCCGGTTTTGTAAAGGTTCCTTCGAGGTACGTTTGAATTTTTATAATGTAGAAGAGTGTGCTTCACATCTTCTTGAGCTTCTCCTCATGACAGGTAGGACTGCTAGCTTTCCGTATTCTATACAGAAAAGCCTTAGTGTAGGTCATACCAAGTCGAAGCCGATCTTGACTGTTTCTACCAATCGGCTAACCTTTAACGGAATATAAAATTCTATAACGGGATCAATGTTATTTAACTGAGAGTCTTGCTAACAATTTAGGAACTAAGTTTCCGTAGACAGTTAAAAGCTCAGCTTCTTTACTAGACATTGTGAATCGCTCATTGATAGAGGTAGCAATGATATATTACTTTCCTGATGTGGTGCATGTGCCATGGGATGAGCTATGTAATTTCCTGTAATTTGACAGTGGCTTGACACCCACTGGATGGTGTGGTTTAAATCTTTTGCTATAGCGTAAGTACTCTGTATTTCGTATGCGAGCTCACTAGCTTTGTCGCCCAAGCTGATTCCTTAAAAAAAAAACTAATGAGGACTGTGAGTCACTGATTCTTGTTGATTTACGTGCTCTAAATACCACACTGCGTAGGGATTCTTGTTACATCAGCTGTTATTTTGATTGTTTACGTAAAAAAAAACTGAATGATTACGGATAGCCTGATCCTGACTTCTCGAGATCCTTTCAGTAAAATCCTTTCACGTGACTTTTGCGTACCTGTGTTACTTAAAAATGAAAATGAAGATGGTGATGCGCATTTTTATTTATGCAAAGAGAAATTTTCAGTTCGTTCTGTTTTAGAGATCCCGAAAAAGCAAACTGGGCTGACTTAATAGCGAAATTTAGAACAGGGTTTATATATACATACCGCTTATTGCAACTTAATATATCATTACGTAAGGCAGTGCTAGTGACACCAGAGCCTTAATTCTCACTTGCCATTTGCACTGTTTCATCCCACTGGTAGCGCTTCCAGACACCCTGTCCATCGGATATTAGGTCATCTTGAGCGTAGAGCGCCACACTTTTTTGGAGCTTGGGCAAAAAGTACCAGAACGACACGCACTGGTAGAGCAGGGGCTCTCGCAACGTAAGCGTTGTTTTGTTTCCCTTGGTACCTGGAGACTCGAAGAGTAGATAGTAGCCTGCGACAATCGGAACAAGGCCACGTGTGATTACACGTAAACTGCACTTCTATTACACAGAATTCAAAACTGGGCACGGATGAACCGTAATGTAGGAGGAGAAATAAACGTTTATTTTGAAAAATGGTATAGATGTGCTAGCCTCGCTTGTACCCTACGTGGGAGGTCTCCTCTTTCCAGGAACCCTCGAGCCTTGCCACCTTCATAAAATGTAGGAAATAATTTTACAGGCCTCTATTCACTATGACCTTTGCCACTTTATTTTCGCAGAAAATTAGGCATACTAGTCTGCGAGAATTCAACTAAAATAAACCACATCATGCACATAAAGTATCATTAATATACATTGCTTTGTGACTGAAGAGATTCAAATGGAAAATAAATAACTCATTCATACTCAGCATATTTTTGGGACAATGTATGTGCTTATGGAAAAATATTGTTCATTTATTATATATGTTCTTTTACTTCGCCAACCGAAGAATTTCATTGGTACTCTGCTGGTTACACAGGGGTCTCCGAGTGTGTGGTTTTTGATGTACTACATAGGAGTATTCGGCTATTCGTTGGAGATACAACAAAATTAAAGTTTCATTATTGTTTCAAGGTATTCATATGGGCCTGGAGTGATAATAAGTTGGCAACAACCAAGCTAATTCAGAAACTCACCATCTGAAGTCTGCGTCGTGTGATCTTGAGGCAATTTGTCGAAGTGTCCGGCTCGCTCCACTTTAAAGGAGGCCCCTTCCTCTATAAACATTCGAAAAAAAAACAATAATATCAGATATATATATTTACGCAGTACAACTGCACTGTAGAAATGAGATGTTAGGAAACACATTGATTCACAGGTTTCCTCAAAAATAAAGCAATCAGCTGTATTCACTCGAATGCTCCTATGGCGCACCGTTATTGAACCAGGACACTCGATCATCGACTCCACGAAAACAATAATTTAGAGTATCCGGAAGCTACCAAACTTGTGAAAGGCAACCAGTTTTGCCTTTACCGTATGAGTACAAAATAAATGAATAAGCATCTGCAGTGGCGAATCCCGTGCAGAAATCAATTCAATACGACATTTCAAAATGAGAAACCTCTATCTACAGGTGGTATTTGTGCAGCATGTCGTGTTAATTAGCGGTAAAAAATACGTCTTGAGCTTCGGAAGAAGTGCTTGTTCAAAGAAATATGGGACTTGAACACGCTGTTGAAAATATGCATACAGTATAAAAACCATCCTTGCGGATAATTGTTGTTGCGATAACGGAATATAAAGCTCAACTAGCAAAACACTGAGTGAAGTAGCGCACAATTACCATACGTTGTTTAGAAACCGTGAATAGAGTACGGTTATGAAAAAAAAATTGATGTGGTTTTGGTTTGGAAAACATGCGTTCAAGCAGGAAGCAATAATTATTAGGGAATAAAAATAATACATGTTTCTTGCTGAAGCATACAGAGCCGCCATCCCTGTAACCGTCCATCTACTTGTTTCGTTCACTGAAAAGAACCTACGGGATCCCGATTGTATCAAATATTATATTTCTTGCTCTTCTGAATAAAGCATGAACATATGAATGACTGAGAAAAAGTACTCAACAGACAAGACAGTTTAAGTGGCTGAGTCAAAGCTTATGAATAGAAAAGTGTAAACGCAAACGGATCTGGTCTTACCATTTCCGTTGATTACCCAGGGAAGGCATTCATCTTCAAATGTGCAGTATTCTGAGGAGCGTAACAAAAAAGTAGGGCTATACATGCGCTCAAACAAGCACATACACACTTCAGTCACCAAAAAAGAGCAATATTCATTTATTTTCACTGTGTTGAGCAGTACAGAATTGTTCTAATACCATCCTGCGTAGAAAAATAACATACAAAACAGTCACTTTCAGTACATACATTGCAACAGTTCCACGGGAATGGCATAAAAATTCTGCGTACTAAAGAAGTATTAACGAGTGTGGTTACAATTATGATAAAAATGCTTGTATTAGCTAGCCAAAATTTAATACTGCTAAAGAATCATAAAGCGTCACCGCACTGCACAGCGAAGCATACTTAACCGAACAGACTACTGCTCAGTTATAACTTATTTTCGCCAGAGGGCGTCACCGGGCGTGTTCTTTACTCGAGGTGACGGCTGACTAACAAACATCCGTACGCTGCTTATCGCATTAGGTCTGCCAGAATGAAACCATCGCTATAAAAGTACGTAAGTAAAGGTATCTTCTGAGGTTTTTTTTTGTGTCTAATACACAAGTAATGAAACCGACATAATGTTTGCCGCCAGAATATTGTCGACAAGTTTGCCGCCACCTCAAGCGAAGATTACCTACTGCGTGCTGGCCTCTGGTGGAAAAATTCGTCCACACTCGCCCCTAGTGCTTTCAGTAGTGCTGGCAAACACTCTCACATATTAAGCACAAATAAATGTGCTGCAAAATGTAAATGAGGAAGCACCACGTGTTGTACAGCTAAAGCGGTAGAGCATCGGGCATACTATTCGAAAGTTGTAGTTTCGGATATCGTAGATGGAAATGGTGACTTTTTGTTCACTTTGGTTTTTTTTTTTAATTGTTGTGGCAATCAATACAATATAAATAAAAAACACAAAATACGATGCTCATGCTTTCGCTACTTTAACTGTATGCCAGCTTTGTTACATTTGACATTGCTGTTAGGCTAATTCTTATCACAAAGGGAACAAGTCTTTTTTTTTATGATTGAATGCCATCAGTGCTGCACAACAGCATGTGATGTAGTACAAGCCACCAATTGCTGGAATATTATTCGTTGATACTTTTGTTATCCTCCATATTACAAGAAAACATTTTGTGCAAACATTTCCTGAGGATCTTACGAGCAATTTTAGAGGAATTCTGTTTTCAAAGACGATAGTCTTTCTTGGGGATCTTCCACGCAAAAACTTTGATCTGTCTGTCTGTCTGTCTGTCTGTCTGTCTGTCTGTCTGTCTGTCTGTCTGTCTGTCTGTCTGTCTGTCTGTCTGTCTGTCTGTCCAACATTACCGCGAACCGGGTACTCTAAACAGCACCAGCCGGTACCCCGAATGGCTGACCCCATCCGCTGCGCCCAGTAATGTTGCTCAAGAATCAGCGTTCATACGTGTGCGATTGTCAATTAAAACAATTATTGCGCATATCTGAGGCACCATAAGAACACATATATATTCTGCATGTTCGTCTTTTGCTAGAAAAGGCATACATAAGTAATCTTAAGGACCGTAGCGCTTATCAAGCTGCGCTGACCATGCAACGCTTGCACGGAAAGGGAAGCGTTTTCAACGCTTTGCTAAGACGAGACGGTGGTGGCACCTACCCGTCGCCTTGCATTCTACACCTTATACACCTTATCACCTCTGAGACGGGCGCGCACGCCCATCTCAGGGCCACATACTTTGTTTTTCAAAAAGGACTGCCAGATGGTGCTCATGTCTTACGTGTGACGTCGCTTGATGCGCTCGTTCACCTCCGCTGCACGCTCGAGGCACTCAAACGCAGCGCCTTCGGAATACCATTCAGCGATTTTCTTGCACAGAACATCAGATAAATGTTTTGTTCAGTCTCTCTACACGGAAGACTATCTATCGCCTTTCGACGACATTTGCAGATTACATGCATATACGGGGCCAATTTTTTTACCCTTGTCTTTTTCGCAATTTGATTTTTTTTGCGTGCCTGTGTTTGTGCAGGTGGAGCTTCGAAGCGTTTGACATAAGCTGGTAGATTTACGCTAAGACATTTACACATGTTCCAAGTTCTTATTTTTGACGTAGTGCTTCCAGGACTGCTGTATAAGTAGTACCAAAAGAGCAGCTAAAAACGCAGCATAAACAGCAACCTAACTTCACAGCAAACAAATGAGCGGCCTTTTAATCAAGTAGAGGACAGAAAACGGACACAGTGATTGCTGCCTTCATAAAAACAAGCAAACTTCTCGAAACGTTGGCATAAACCACAATAATCTGTCCAAGTAATTTGTTACCTCGTAGTAAAGTATACCGTTCATAACTGGGTAAACTCTTACCGTAGGGAGGGCATTCACCATCGCTGAACTCAATGTCATCTATCATAATTCCAGAATTTTCAGGAACTCCTGCTGTAGCCACGCCTTCAAAGACGAGCTGATCAAAGCAAAAAAAAAATGAAAGAACAGTGTTAACACCGGACCACTACGGCAGTTCGTTGTGAGCTAAATTGTAAATAATTTCCGACAGAAAATTCATGCGTGTTTCGTCACTTTGCTACTGAGCATTACAAGAGTTGCGGAGGGAAACACGCTGTTCTTCATTAAATAAAGGTTCGACAAGAGGCATGTCAGAAGCCGGTGAGTCTTTTCGTTTCTGTATACGATCTGCTGCAAGCGATGAAAAGAGCCGCAAAGTGGAGTAGCAGTTGTGTCCTAGAGTTGACGCCACGCGCACCAAGCTAAATGACAAAACAGAAGCGCTGAAGGGACGCTGTGTGACATCCACTGACACTCGCGCAGTATCCACAAAGTATGAGGACAGCTCTTCCTACCGGCAAAACTGGGGCGAACGGTAAAGGAGTGTACCCGTCTTACCCACTATTTCTTGTTAATTCTTTACTTTACTCGGCACGACTGTAACTCATAACTTCTTCCTTTATTCGTGATAGAAACGAGACCTTTCACCACGTGCCTAGCCGCGCTACATTTCTGTCATGACAAGCAACAACAATGGTGATGCTTGAAACAATGATACACAACAAAGAAATTTGGTAACGCGAAAACACAATTGACCATGAATAAACATATACATTGCCATACCAGAAACAGTAGATAAAAGACGAAGACGTGACACAGAGAGCATCAATTATTTGAAAACAGCGCTAAAACGTGCACATGTCACCGGCTGACTGCCAGGGCAGCCATTATGTACAGCCAAGTTTCTCTGTATTTACCATGTGCGGGTTATTCACGCCTGAACACCAGCACTTAAATCTATTACTCATCGAAGATTTACTGGATGGTTGAGTGCTTGACTTTTGGCGTCCCAAATACTTCCGCAGCGTAGAACACACCTCATGTAGTCTGCATGGCAATTCTCGCATCAAACTGCAGTGAGCGCCTATATTTAAACGTACCTGAGAGACCACATCATCAGCCTCGCTACGATGAGTGCAAAAGAAAGGCTTTCCCGTATTTAGCCGACTAATCCGGTACTGTAGTGGCTGCGGCTAAGGTAGGCCCGCAATCTTTTTTACCTCCGTAAAGCGATTCTTGATCTTTACAAGCAACTTTGCTGCCTCCGTTCGGTGTGCTAAACTTTTCATGAAATACACTTTATCACGCTTAAAAAACGCCGGTTACTTTCGGCCTTTGCTCTTTGGCACCGCCAAGCCCTTCCCTTCTCCGTAATGTTATCTAGTGTCCTTAGCAGCCATCTCTTTACTATCCCACTATTCTGTCTTACTGTCATGTATTGTCACACCCCCAATTTTTTTTACATTTTTCGGTGCATCATCTTAATTTCAAGTTAAACTCAGTTCATTAGTTTTCACGTTTCTGCCACGCAGGTAAGAACCACTACGATGCGGCTGTTACATATTTTCTCCTATGGTTTTCCGCTAGCAGCACACTGGCGGTAATCAGCAACGGTAACATGCAGCTGCTATATACTCTGAAGTCATAAAAGACTTTGAACTCACGTTCCACCTATTTCTGGAGGAGATGGGCACTCTTCGCGCAATCCATTGTCCTTCTTTTGCCGGCGTACGCACCGAAACCAGTGGATCCCGTAGAGCTGTTTCTTTTGTAAATCTGTAACCAGAACAAATCCCCAGAAGACATGCCATAGGAATCAGTTACTTTAATTTGAAGTAATAATGCTTGCTTTGACGCACCAATTCTTCACAGAAAAAAAAACTAATGAATTCTTCAAGTCCGACGTGAGAATTTTACGGATGTATGGTTGCAACTAAAAGACCACAATAAGATATACTTAATGTTCTGCGCTTAACTGCATGATCTAGGTACCTTTAGGAGATTTTTTAGATGCGAAGCAGCTCTTTGACTAGACTGTGTAACGCTGTCCCTCCATACGAACCCACCGCACACCACAGGTGTTGGTGAGTAGCCAGTAGGTCACGCCACCGCTGTGCGTTGATGTCACGCTCCCCTCGCATTGTGCGCTGACGTCACTCTCTCTTTCACCTCCCGCGCGCTTACCGCGGCCCCCGCAGTTGCCGCCTCGTCCATTCGGCCACAACACCTGGCATGGCCACCAATCGCTACACCGCCGACTCGTAGGTTCACGCGCAATAAATCTGACGCGCTGGGGGTCCTAGTTTTTATTTGATGCGCGAATTTCAGTGAGATATTCAAAACAAACACGTACAGTGGCACACTGCACAGTAAATGCGAGTACCCTCTGACCTAAATGTCGCAGGAAGAATTGTTTTGCTTTGTTTGGTTGTTATTCTCACATAGATCGTAAACTTTATACTTTGCAACTGCTAGTATTGTGCTATGCACAGCTTTATAGGCCTTTGAAACTTGTTTTGTAATATATTCGCACTCGTACACTTGCTAAACAACATGTGAACATTAGGTATGTATGTATGTATGTATGTATGTATGTATGTATGTATGTATGTATGTATGTATGTATGTATGTATGTATGTATGTATGTATGTATGTATGTATGTATGTATGTATGTATGTATGTATGTATGTATGTATGTATGTATGTGTGTATGTATGTATGTATGTATGTATGTATGTATATTACGAGAAAAATTGTACGACGGTGGTAAACGATTAGGACTGGTTGCGCAATAAATCTCGATTCAAAATTACCCCACGTTCAATTTCTCGCAATCACAATAAAGCGCGCACTGGCTTTCGAGAATATTTTGAAAGTACTTGCATGAAGATACTCCAAACTCGACGGTCCAACTCTTATAACATAGCGGCCAAGGCCAAGACTCGATAAAACTGACAGAACATTGGCAACCTGGTGTAAAAAATTACCACTGTCGTCCAGCTTTTGCTGCATGTCAATTTTGCTACAAGCCACAGAGGCGATCACTTGAAGCATATGCTGTTTTAAAATATGATGAAGTGAAGAATCCCATGAAATTGGGCCTGTGAAGCATAAATTCGTAACTATATGCTCTCATTTCTCCCATATAATTATTTTAGTAGAAAGCAGGTGTCAAAGTTTTGTTGCGCGGCTGCAGCAACATAACTACCGCACGTGAGTTTCAGTTGGTAATCACGTTGTTAGGATACGTTCTGTCCTAATAGTATGGATTTGTTGACCCAAGCAAACTTTCTGGCTCGTGCCCTATTAAGTTCTTTTCTCCCGTGTGGCACGGCGTAATTCCTTTTATACCGATGAAGTAATGTGGGCGCCCTGTAGAAGTGGAGAAACCCCACCACGTCTCCACCATTTCGTAGGTGAACTTCAAGGCGGCACGCCTCCTGCACGTTCATTTGTGCAATCTTTTACCAATCAAGCGCCTTGTGTCAGGAAGACTACTCATTTAGATGTTGTAGGGTACTATGTGTTCTGTGCCTCTTTTCTATCCTGCTCTTAATGTTTTCTTTTGCATTATTTGCACAAACTTCTGGAACAATGCTCACCCATGTTTTTATTTGCTGTAATAAGTGTACACAACATGTATTACCTCCTTTTAAATGTCCCCCTTACATGTGCGTTAATACATTTTTGAAACAAAAGTGAGTTGTGTATTCTGTCACCACCACAATCTCTTCTTGATGTAATTGGGGTATGTGAACTTAGTCAAGTGGGCTGTCGTTTTTTCTCCACTCTCTTTTTATTTACATCACTGTATTGGTGTGAATAAAAAGTCATAATATTATTATCACTAAAAAAATAAACGTATGTGTTGTGTCGCTTCATTTATGCTGTACCGCAATGTCATCGTAACTGAGAGTTGAATACCTATTTAAAAGGGAGGCCTTTGTTGGTGCCTAGAATACTGCTAGCTTACCTGTACATGTTTAGCTTGCCGGTAAATCCACGTCCGCTGAACCAAAACGTGACACACGTAGCCTCGGTTGGGGGACGAGACCGCATGAACACGCGGGATATTGGATGATGAGAGTCAACCGCAGTCGTGTTCAGGTACAGGTAGCGGCCTGCGATTCGTGGGCAAATAATCAATTAGCTATAGTACTACGTTTTGAGTCACCTCCAGCAGCACCACCTTACCAAAACTTGAACTTCTAGAGAAGTGAGTCAATGACAGGAAGTCACTGTTTTGTTCCTCGTGTTAAAGATACATCGCCGTAAAACAGAACTTGCGGATACCCAATAGTATACTGTATGAAACATATACCATGGAGACACCTGAGCCACCAGAATAATGTTAATGGTCTCCAGAAACACAGAGCTGTTAATGTCACGCAATAACGGTACCCAGAGAATAATCAGCATGCGTTTTATTATTTCCTGATTGTCGTCAAAAAAACTGCAAGGAGTAGCGTGCATGTTGACTATAAAAGTTCAGTACTTCAGTACTTCAGTACTTTATTAATTGGGCAGAATACGATTAAGTTCGAATTCTGTATTCAAATTCACTTCAAAGTGATACAATTGAAACTCTCATACTATACAGCTATTACGCTTAGGAACAAATTTCGATAAAAGAGGGCCCCACGAAGATGTCATTAGGCTGGAAGAGCTGAGCCTAATGCGTACTTTGAATAGAGGGCTCTCTGTTGGCACCTCACAATGGGCTCGCGGAATATCGTGGCCATTCACTTATACGCCTTACTCTTCATACAGCAATAAAAGGAAAACACCTGTTCTACGTTGTCTGCACGCACAGATGATGAATTATTCCAAGACTATTTTATCTCTAGCTGTTCATTCTCTATGTCGCTGAAAAATTCTCAATGGGTCTCATTCGCCCCTACTAATTTTATTTTTCTGCTCAATTAGCTTACATGAGCTAGTGAATTGCAATCCTGATTAACACTCTGAGATTCACTGCCTTGCCACTCTTATTATACTATTTCATACGATGTATTACTGCCTAGTTATCAATGTTATCGTTTACACCCATTAGTAACTTTGTGTAGCGTTCAATATCGTCTATTTCCTTAGCCCGCACTTATGTGTTACATTGTACACTGACCCTAAATAAAGTTACAGGGAGTATATATTTTGTTGCCCTCAGTCAGAATCACCTCGAGATGACATTTCACAGAGCACAAAGACTATAAGTCATCAGGGCAGCCTAGACTGAGCTCCAAAACAACAACGTTGGGGTTTTCATCCCATTGGTTCCATGCCCCATGAGTCTCACTGCCATACCAAATAAAATTTACCTTCAAAAGAAAGTTGTTTTCATTTCCATACTCGTGACACTAGTGTTGATAATAATTTAAATATTTTGAATATCATACACACATCTGTATTCATTTTCAGCAGGCCGAACAACTAATTAGGTGTCACGTGGACGACTCTTTTTGACCCCAATCATGCTTTTAAATATGAGTCATGTATGGACTAATAGGAGCTGAAAAGTACGTTCACAAGCTATTGCTGTTGGTTTAGCTTATGCATACGGCGCCAGTATCTTTCCACTCACTGACCTGTGAGATTCCTCGTCGTGTGGTCCGGCAGTCCAATTTCGGAGCCATTTCGTATATTCCAGTCGGAAAAACTGCCCGGAACAGTCAACGCTAGGCACGGGGAGCCTATTTCCCAAGAGCAAAAGTCTTGAGCAAGATAAAAAGAAAAAAAAAACAGTTCAGTTATTTTTCAGTGAATTGTGCTTGTTTCGTTCAAGGTAAAATTCTGGCATATTCTACGCACTATCAGAATCGACATTGTGCAGAGAAGTCTGCAAAAAATTCACAACAGCACTCTATTTGACTTAGAGCCAAGGATTCCGAAGTTGATCGACTTGGGCGTATAACAAGAGCAGCTGTGTAGGCTGCATGCTTTCGCGACACATGCCAAACAAACCGAGACTATTACAGGCCTGAAGGCTTCCGCTGGACTCACACTTCAAGTCAGTGTTGATATTTCAGCGGCGTTATTACATGCATGAAAAAGGGATGAGCAAGGCATGAACTAGCTAACGTGTTAGTCATAAACGGCGTTCGACTTCGCACTCCAACATGGTCGAGGTAAAAGTGACAGTCGCAGTAGATTCAGCGAAATATTTATTGCATTTCTAAAATAGTGCATCGTCACCCTAGAGCATTGTTATCTTCATTATCAAGGACTAGCCAAGAGCGGTGGCTAGCTAGTCATCCAGGTCCAGCTAACAGTTAGCCAACACTCATGAGCAGTAATTCACCACTGAAAGAAACTGCAATAAGTAATAGTTGCCATTAGAAACAAACTCAATAACAAACAATACCCAACACAAGCCCCGCACTTCGTAGGAACTACCTATAGTGACAACAGGTGCTACTCAACTTTAAGAGGTATAGACGGCCCAGCCCTCAATAAGATTCGGTCAAAATCATCATTTCGGCTACAGCTAACAGCTTCACAGATAGGCACAGTCAAAATCCTTTTCGTTCTTCGAAAAGTGGTCCTCAACTCACACGCGTGAGAAAAACCATCGTGCCGTCACTAAACACTAGACATGAAGGTTAGTAAAGCTGTTGAAGTAGAAAGCTCCCTTGTAATTAGCAAAGTACGTGTCAATCTCTTCATTAGGTTTTATTCTAATCGCACATTACAGAGTGCCCATTTTTTCATTTTGCTCCAATTCATCACTATCCTGACTTACGTTTTCACCATAATCACCACCAAGCATCAGCAGTAGCATTTACATTCGGCACAAATAGAGTAAACTGGAGTAAAATGAGACATGTGGCAAAACGCGACATTTTTACTTTGCCGACTTCTGTAGCTAATACAAAAAGTAATTTTCTTTGCTTCTCTCTTTCAGCAATAGGTGCTGGTAGTTGTCTACCTTTTTTTGTGTAAGAGTCTGTCATTGCTCACAGCGTTCGCGTGGGAAAATTTATGCGGCTGGCGTTGGTGTCTTCGTGATCCATCCAAAAGGCGCGAAATTCTGCTCGGCCAAATTTTCGAATCCATGCATGAAGCTACTCTGACGTCAGCACAACAACTTACGTATTTGTTTTGTCCCTTCTCACCATCTGAAAACAGCGTTTGTCAACCGGATGGCCTCTATGAATTTACTGTAATGTCATTTGGACTCTGAAATGCACCCAGCACATTCGAGTGAATGATGGACAGCATTTTACGCAGTCTCCAATGGAACATATGCTTGTGCTATCTTGACGAAGTTGTGGTCTTTTCACCCAATTTCACTTCGCACCTCATTTGTCTGCATAAGATTCTACAGTGCCTTACAAATGTCAGGCTGCAACTTAACCTGATGAAATGTCACCTCGTGGCTCTACAACTCACCATACTTCGTCATGTCATCACCAAAGACGGCATCCTCCACGACCCTGAAAAACTTCGTACTGTTGCCGAGTTTCCTATAGGCCAGCTACAGTTAACGAACTCTAGAGTTTTGAGGGCCTGTGCTGTTATTTTCGTCGGTTTGTTCAGAGCTTTGCTTCCACCATTGTTGCGATCACCAAGCTCCTTGCTGGCTCTGCGGATTTTCCGAATCGGACAGCAGCCTGTGACGAATCTTTCGCAACACTGAGCCAAATCCTTACCTCTCCACCCGTACTGCGCCATTACAACCCTACTGCGTCTGGTGTGTTTGATTGCTCCGCAGTACGCAAGCTCCGTGCCAAACAGTGCCAACGCGGACGTACGCAAATGCAAGGCGAAAGCTTCACTAGCTAAGTCGAAGATGTTATTAATTTATACCTGTGCTTGAACCCTTAGGTGACCGAACGGGACAAGATCAGCATATCTTGCATGGCATAAGAGATGATGCCTTTCAAATGTTGCTGGCGAAGGGCTTAAGTACTATGTCCGAACTTGTGACCTTGTGCCAGAGCTTGGAACAACTTCGCAACCAACATGCATCAGTTTGGAGGTTGACGCCGGCAGACGAATCTTTCGCTGCCCTGACTGTCGGTGGTGACAACACCCGGTTGGAGCAGATGAAAGAATATTTACACGAAGAGGTCGCTCGAAAGCTTTCACGTCTCTCGTATCTGCCGGCCACTGAAGTACCAACGAACTGCCTAACGCCGGCCATCAGACAGACTATTCAGGAGCAGGTCTTCGAGGCGTTGCCATTTCCGACGTCTGCCTCTCCACCAACACCTGTCGCCGTGCCACTGTCTTATGCGGTCATCACGGCAACGCCCCTACGTCGTCTGCCATTGTATACCCCACAACCTGCGCGACCATCCACCGTGCTGTTTCCAGCAACGCAGCAGCACTTCGGAATCCCTGGCGCACTGCTGAAAACTTGCCCATCTGTTACTGTTGCGGAATTCTAGGCCACGTTGCACGTCTATGTCGTCGGTGCTTTGCAGTGCCCCCTGAGGTATTAAGATATCCTGACTACTCGTTTCGGCCTGCAGCCATATTACGCGCCTCACGTGCTACCTCACGTTTACGAAAGTGACGTGCAATCTTCTTCCGCTACTCCGCACCTTCACCACTTGGCATGGGATTTTAATAACGACGCCAGGTAGCAGGCAGACAGCCGGTACGCAGAGAAATGCTCGAACAGCCAAGCGGGCACAGCTTGTGCACACCGTTCTCGTTTCGCACTAAAAGATGGTCCCACTGGTCATTTCTTGCGAATTCACCACTACACATTATACTACTAGCTACATACTAGTAAAAGTTTGATTTATTTGTTGCGCGGTGCCAATGCAGAATTTTTCTAAAAGAAAAGTTCCTTGTTATCAGAGCGATTCCTCGTCTCTCCGGCGTACCCGGTAGAGTCTCCCTTATCATACCATACATGACGCTGTGGCATGGAGCTGACAGACAGATTCAGAGAGGCGGATGAACGGATCGACGAATGGTTCGCCCAACTCTTCATCATTTTCCTCGTGGATATGCTGTGATTTTTTTTAATTCGAGCTTGTGGGAGAGGCGAAACGTGACAAAAAGGCATTGGAATATTTTAGATAGTGTTTCATCAGGGGAACAATTTACTAATACTGACTTTTTATTATACTTTTGCCAATGATCGTTAGCATATACAAAATATACAGAGCTTCATTGGAGAAAACTTCATCAAAAAGCCCTGCTTGCTGTTGAGGACAGAACTCACTCTGTCAACGCTACATCGAGGCTTCCCCACGTTCCCAAGAATGTTCTCAGGAGGTACATGAAAAAAATTGAAAGAATTTTTAAGTCAAGTTGTTCAGACACACATCTTTTAATCAATTTTTAATAATTTTTTTCATACCGAAATTTTAAAACAACAAGTGATAGAAAATCTCAAATTCATCGTCTCAAAATGCATGGCTGACGAAGTTGAAAGCCATGAAATGCCCATGTGGTTCTCTGTCAAAACGGCGTCAGAACATATTTAGTTTCCAGTCACTCAATAACGTAATGAATTGCAAGCCTTCAGCAAAACTTGATTTGTTCAAAGAAAGTCTGTCGGCGCATAATTTGCTAAGAGTTTTGGAGCAACACAGTGCCGGCTTCTGTCTGGATTTATATCATGGAGGGTAAGTAGTGAGCTTATAATTACTGCGTTGGGGCCTATGTAATAAGTTTTAGGTGCTTTTAATGTGATTTCTAAAAGAGTGAAACTTTTTCACACTGTCTCGTTTCACCTCACTGGTTTGGTGAAATGAGACTTGTGGTATATATATTTTTAAAACAACCCTTTGAACTGTGGAAATATGACGATATTTATGCTGCGCATAACATGTACCTAAAAAGTTTCTGCAAATATATTTATTAGTAATTATTCAAATACAGACTAATAATTTCTATTTTAAAATTTTCATCGCATTAGACCCTATGCTATCCTTTATCTCTCCGTAGTTAAGCTGAGACATGCTGAAGTGTCTCACATATTTGGTGCGCTTAACCACGGGAGAATTTCAATAATTCCCCTCTCATTTACTAATGCGAATAAACAGAAATGTCATTGTGCATTTGCTATTTCGAATAGTTTCGAATCATCGCAATTTAAAATTAAGATAAAAAGCGTTTGACCTGCTTTTATTCTCAGCTTCAAAATTGTATGGGTTGTTTGTGAAATATGATTTGTGTGAAGTCTTCAATAGCACCGCATCTCGTGAAGTGTTTATCAAGCCATTCACAAGAAAGGGCGCTAATCGTAATGTGGACAGCCTCCCCCCCCCTCCTCTCGTTTTCTCTGTTCTGTTTCAAGGAACATTTAATAGTAGCTACGGAAAGACCATCCCTTGATGCAGGGGTGGTTACGGAAAAAATCCGGAAAAGCAGTGGGGGGTGAACGACAAGCCTAGATAACTACTCGCTTCTTGTGCGGTGTACCTGCGACCGCAGTTTAATACATTGTCTCGTCCAGCTCAATTCTGGTTGCTTCGCTCCGTCACAAAGAACTTACGAGGCTGCTTGTTTGGTTGTGGTTTAGTTTATGGAGCTTGTTATTCCAAGCCTGCAAGGGCTATCAGAAACCGCTTTTTCTGCAATATGAGTTTTGATTTCAAACCTAATTATCGAAAATGGTACCTTATGAAACTTTGAGCATTGTAGCTGATAACCATCTAGATTTTTTTTTGTCGTAATTTTCGCGCTGTCTCATTCATGAAAGTGACATAGGGCACATGGAAATGACTTACAGCGAATAAACAAGAGATGAGTCATTATTACAAAAACGTTGCGACTCATAGTTGACTTACAGATATGTGAATACCAGCAAAAAATCTACGCACATCCACGAAGTATATGCTGATGACAGAGCGAGGCGAGGACCTATGGTTGATAACGCCTACGTCGAAGTTGCCGACTAATATAAGAATGGACAGACGGAGGGACCCATGGATGGATTGATGGACGTACCGAAGCTCGGGTGCGCGCATAGATGAATGGGCGGATGAATGTACTGATGCATGCACCGACACATGGACGGATGGTCTATTTTGGAACAATATGTGCACTCAGTAGACGGAGCTGCGCACAGATGTTTTGCAGCAGCACTGTGACTGTACACGGTGCACGGACAGATTGAAACTGGATGGCCATCATGAGGTTCCAAGGACCTTCGCTCCTGAAAGGTGTAGGACATTTGAACTTCCCTTTTAAGAGTTAATAGCGATAGCGTATTCACGCCTTGAGCACATCACCCTGTCAAATGCCAGCCGCGCTTCTTCTTGGCGCATGCCTTAACCGTGCCGTGAGGAAAAAATTGACAATGGGCTTAATATTAGCTGTTTCAAACTGTCCTAGAGTGCTTACTACAGGTATCGTTGTTGAGTGCTTATTATACCATAAATCTTCATATGGCGAGTCAGTGAAGGGCTAGAGGTTGGTAAGGCAACAAGCAAACCCACGTAGCTGTTCGCTTTGCTTATGCTTGTGCTGCTGATGAATAAATATGTCCAAACGTTTTGTAATGGGCGAGCCTTTAAAAAGTCCACACCTTGTGCCGTTCACATGATCAGAACATAAGCTTTTATTACGCATAATTACATGCGGTAAAGAGACTTCTTTGACTACAAGACCTATATATAGTTTTTTTAAACAATTTCAAGAACTGTCGTTGGAATAATGGCTAGGCGGGCAAAATGATATTGATACCTAATTCACTGCTCCTGAAACACAGAAAAACACGAAGTAGAGAAAAAGGACAGACTGCACTTGCCTGTCTTTTTCCTCTACTTCGTGTTTTCGACCATTTTCTGCGCAGTACATTATAGAACTATCGTTTCTCTGTAGTATCACACCGGCGGGCCATGCAGATGAACTGGGTTCTATTCGTACTGAGAAGCGAGGACTGACTGATTTTATTTGCATCTTTTCTAGTTTTTAGGTCCCAGACTAAAGTACTTTTCACTCGCAACCAGCAACGCCGTCATCGACGGCAACGCCACAATTTCTGTGAAGCGACCTTTCTAATGCTCTCCTGTTAACAGATGTTCATTAGTAATCAGTAGTCGCCTACACAGATAGAGGAACTGCGCTGTACTTCATTTATCTGGTGGAATGTTATGAAATCACTCGAAACTTCTTTCAGTGGACATGTTCCCACCAAGAAATAACACGGTTGCTTGGCCACTCATGTCAAGATATTTTGTTTTCACCTTTGAGTGTGTGTTAGACAAAAATCCTTTGCCCGTAAGAAGCAATCATGTAGGTTTGTTTACCAAGTTGTAAGTAGGGTAGGTTGCTTTCAACCACTCAGCGTCTCTCTATTTAGCACTGTAACCTCCGCGATTTGTTCCGGCAGCATTCATCCGGAGACAACGGCGGAATATACATTTAAACTGAAGAAATTTAAGTGCCAGACTCTTATATTTAAGCATTTTGCTGAGTGAGCTTCTTTCCTACCTTGCACAGTGTTGCACTTCATGAAATAAATTCAGCATGCAATGCTGATACCGGTACTACTCTTTCCTTTTTTCGAAGAAAGAACCTGCGGGCGTGTGGCTGAATGACAGCATGTGGGGTCACTTGCATGTGGTCCGTCCTCCAACCACTGAACTGCAAACCTCAGTAACCGCTACTACCAGAGTAGGCATTGCGTCGATTCTCTCTGGGTAAAAGTGTCAGTCATAGGGTGTTCCAGTAAAAATTGCTGTAAACAAATTTACAGTCGTAGGGGTACCCAATGGTAGCTTTAATGACGATGGTCAAACTAACCCCAAAATAATGGTTACCGCAGGTCAACAGGTTCACGGTAAAGCAAAATGTTGGGTGGTATACAGTATAATAAGATAAACTATGCAGGCATTCTGAGTCGTACAATGTCGAGATAACTTCGTGCCTGAAACTTTCAACCCATAAAGGTGGCTCATTTATATTGTAGAGAATGCGGAAGTACCTTCCAGTGAAAGCACGATTATTTAATCAAGTCATGCATAATTCAGTCATGCCATTCTGGGGGCACCGGTGAGTACTTACAATGCAGCACCTATACTTGTTCTGACCTCAATATGAAAGACAAGGACATATAAGCAACTTGGGAGGCATTTGGTGCTTGTTGCTATAGTATATCAGAGGTCTCTATTGCTCGTCGGCAAATGTTTTGGGGAGAACGGTTAAACTTATATGAGCTGCCAGCAATTATATCAAAACCCCGCATGGTCGTTTCCTTTGCCAGAGCGATTGAGCTCTTAAATTTTTGGACGATAAGAACGCCCAACTAAGCCGTCGATGAAGGCCTGACTAATACAACTGTAGGCTTGCGCAAACTCTTCGCGCCTAACACCTTGTCTTTGTAATCAATACTGAGTGTATTGAACGGTGTCGTGAAGATGAGTGGGTGCGTCAGCGTAGAAGGTTCGCTCCCCCTCCTCCTGATGATGTATCCTAAACCCTCCTTCGAAGACCGCCCCAGGTGTATTTCTTTTACACCAACACACTCACCTCTTTGTTCGCAATATCCCGCTGCTAACTTCAATGTCGTCCAGCGCCACCAGAGCCCGTGCCATGAAGAATGAAATCCACAGCTGGAATTTCCGTGGTGAAGAGTGGTGTTAGTACATCCACCAGCAATCTCATAGCCATCCTAAATGAAACCTGCCTTTAAAAAGTGTTGTTTTCCTTCAAAAGTTGAAGCTCTTCTCACTCGTTCTTATCTTAATCGTTCATTCATCCATGCACTATACCACACAGTGATAATTATAGCAGTCTTCTGAAGCTAGCTTCACAACGTCTGTGAATGACGTGAATTTAGCAAGAAATACCGTTGATGATTAAGATAACACATGTACGTATCCCTCGAAACAAGCAATAATTTGGAAATCCGCAGTCGAATATTTCAAATTCTCATTTTTCTGGTGGTTCTTCCACAGCTATTCGTCATTTGCAACCTTCAAGTTCTGATCCTATTTTCTCATATTATGCAAATTCGGACCACTTGCACCAATCTAGAAGAATTTTTTCGCAGCACTCGAGAGACACTTCAATCCAAAATAAAGTCGCCTGTTTCTTTATTTTACTTGTAAAGCACACATTCATTGCTGCAATCAGTGAAGTTAGCTTCGCAAAAAGGAACTAGAAAAATCAGCATTGCTGCATTTGCACGTAAGTGTGTAAATATTCAGCTTTTGTGGGTATAACCTCACCTCTCTGATGTATAAAGAATCTGTCTTGTATATAGCTGCCTTGTTATATTAGGATCAGTGATCGTCAGAACAGATGCGCCTAGATTAGTTCATAGCACTCCAACAAAACCGATTGTGTAATATATGTACACTGGCGAAAAATGTGCTTTAATCCGATGAAAGGTAATTGTGCATGGAACTCAAGCCTCATTTTATTTCATTGCTAGGAGTGTGCACGTTTTGGTTCAGGCTCATATTATTCCGCTCATGTGAAGGAAATGCCTTTCACTTTTAAAATTTTATTTGACTCTAACTGCCGTCATTAGTGCTCTACATTTAATGTTATTTTTTATAGCGAGCGATGAAGTATTTTACCGTCAAGTTTGCTCTTTTATTGACTATCAGGCCTTAGAAAGTGACCATCATGCTGTAGTACCTTGAAAAAAAACCTTGGGCAAGGGAGTTTGCAAATACCCGAGCAAATGAAAATAGTATGCGTTCCACTTGAGGGTTTGTCCACCCCTGCACATTCTAAACAATATTTTATAGTAGCTGTACAATTGAGTAGGTACTTAGGTGTCGTAACTCTTGCTTGTAACTAAAAACCACACGTACTCTAATTTCATTTCAATTCTTCCATTCTAGTGCTTTTTGCTTGTATCCTACTGCCCTTTATAAAGCCTTCATGCCTAAATCTATTCATAAATAAATAAATTATTATGAGGTGTCTATAAATATGCGTTTATTAAGTTTCAATATTCTGTGCATGCGTGTTTCGTTGGTACAAGTTTTTCTCGTGCGTACCTCAAACTTTCCTTCAGGCCTCTTGAAGTTCACCACTACGTGTTCCCAGTGATGAGAAGAGCGAACCCTGCTGCGGTACAACCGATCAATCCCTGACCACACGTCAAGGCTGAAATGGAAGGTATAGACTTGTAGTATTGTGCGTATGCGCAATATTTTTCATATATCTCATATTGTAGCTCATTTTATTTTTTTATACGTCCCTAAGGTCACTTGACGGCTTCGCATGCATGCTTGGGAAATGAATCAAAGGAGGGCTGAAATTTTTTACGGCGAAAGTTGTTTTGAGATCAAAACAATGGTTGTTTTTGGCGCCACGTTGTCTGCTACAGCCACCATTGGTGCCCGCAACCACTATGACCCGAAATCAGAATAAAATACTAGCTAAACAACAAACATCCGGAGGAGAATAGGATTCGAACCCACGTCCCCTGCGTGCCAGCTCTGTATTCGACAACGTAGCCACGCCGGTGATTGAAACTGCGTTGCAAACTCACCCCAGGCATACATCATGTCGCGAAAAGAATCTCTTAATATGAGTACTAAAGCGTTTAGGAACAGTAAAGGAACAACAAGGTGCCACGCACTGTGAATAGCGTAACGAGTGGTTCGTCCTACGCTACAACTCATATCAACCGCTTCAGACAAACATTTTCATCGTCGTCAGCCACCGCATCAAAAAATGCACAAAATGTCTTGCATGTGTGCACCGCATATCAAGCTTCTACAAAGAATGACAAAGAACGGCATAGGAAATGCTTTTCTACTCGGCCTAATCTCTTCACTCAGTATGTGTCATGTGTGGAGGTAAAAAAAAGGCCTTACTAGTGCACAAACATTATGATGACTTATCGTGCAGTGTATACCCTGCAAGCGTTCTCGTAGCAGTTACCCAAAAAGTGTTTAAAAAACTGTTGTTGCCAACCAAATAGTAATGTCTCCATTTTATAGCAGGTCTCGTTTCAGTGTATACTACGGGATTTCCTTCTGTATACCCTTCTTCAACAATATATTATAAGATATTAAAACTTGATCTGCTTTTATTTGAAAAGGCTCTAGAAAGCTGATTTTCTAGGTTTCGCTGTGATGGTGCAGCGCATCCTGAACAGGCCTCCAATATTGTGACATACTCATGACTTTTTGATTGAAAAAGATATCAATGTGCCTCTACGCGTCTTTTGTGACGTTTTATTTTATTCGCATTATGAGAGCATAGTGGTCATTTTATTCAAAATTATCAGGAAACCTACTCCTCGTTTTAGTTTGTCGCAGCCTTCTTCAGAAATCGAGCAACTAGTCCCTATGTAGTCTAGGTCACACTCTATGCATAAACATTTCTCAGGTTCTTCCGCATTTTAGACAAGCGGTTGAATATATGAACGCCTGATCAAGAAACGAACCTTCAAGTTCATGTGTTGCTTGTTTTTGGGACCTACTGAAGTTATTATTCTTGCAAAACTGCCCCTCATATTAAAGAACGTCGTTCTCCTGTACTCCTAAGCTAGTCTTTATATCCAATACTCTAAGTATTTGGTTTGTTAGGAATACTCACTTGACGTGGCTTGAATGGTCTGCAAACAGCCAGAAGCTGAGGCAGGCTCCACTAGTGGCGTTAACGTCCAGTTGAGGACTCTTAAACACTGCAGTTCCCCAAACGTAGTCAGCGTCGTGCTTTGCATATATGAAACGCCCTAGAAGAACAAAACACATTCATTATTTGGCATGTGTATATACCAAGTCATTCTCTTGGCATGTGTATATTACCTATCGCAGAGGCAAACGGAAAAAGAAAGGCCGACACATTGCGCCTGTCCAACACGAGCCTTAGATTTTTAAGCTCTAACTGCAAAAAAAAAACAAAAAGAACAAATAGGACGCCATAGGTATAGAGAGTTTTATCCTAACCAAAAACGTCAATAGTAAAAAAAAACTCGAGATTTGTATTTGTTGTAGTTGTTCATTAAAACTTCAAAAACCCACTGGAAAAGAATAACACAAAAATAACAGACGGGTGCAGTGTTCTGCTTATAGAATTTCAGAGATAAACTCAAGAATTTGATAGCGACACAAAAACAAAAATTAATAAATGGATGAATAAACTGTACGTGATGCTACGCCAGCCATTTGCTTCTACAAGCAAGCAAAAAATAACATATAAAGGACGCTGGCTAGAAGAATGCCATCGACAAGTTGGGCTGTTTGAGGCTTCGTGAGTTCTTGTCAATTCTATTCGTCATTCATACAGCCTACTTTAGCGTTCAAATTCACAAAAATGCTTTGCGATACACAGGGCTTTGTGCGAACTGTTCCGCAGTGCACGCTGTTCTCGTGAGCAGCATGCTGCCTGAAGTGTTACAACAGAGATAAAAAAATCTCTCTGGTCACCTCTGTACGCTTTTAGGGTATGGTCGAAACGTGGATAATCCGGAAGCTTCTTGACAGGATCGTTCAGAAACCACTGATTGGACAACGTTCCAGAGTTCCATCCACACATTGTGCCATCTTCGAATGTGCACCGAGCTGTAAGAAAGCAGCAATTCATGTTATGGACCTCAGTAAGCAAAAAGAAGAAAGGAGACACATCCTAATGACATTTAAAAGTACACCCAGGGCTGAAGTGTAACGTAGAAGTTGTCTCAGAAAAAGAATGACAGCTCTGTGACTGTGGCTGAACTCAAAAGACTCATAGAAACCAAAGATGCCATGCCTGGGGTATTTTAAAACGTGTACTTCAGTACAAACAATGACGTGTGCATATGCGCTGTAGGTTAACCAGCAATATGTACCCATGAGACCGACAGGTATACCTACCAGCTGGTCATATCTCTTCAGAGTAAGAATTATGTTAATTTCTTTTAGTTGAGATATGCTGCTGGTCGCGTTAAGCGCTCATGCTGTCAATGACGACAGACTTTAGGTTGCCTAAATAAGAGCATATATAGGTGCCTAAGAACACTTCTCACATGGTCCAAACGATTACTCACACGGCGGCTTGGTCATGGTAGCTGGAACATATACCGTACATAGGAGAAATGGCATGTATAAATTTGCACGCACACAAAAAAATTTTGGAAATTCATGACACGCTGCCCCTGTTGACTGAGGAGTCCAGAAAAGTCATAAAGGGACCCAGCAACACTTTTTGACCATGGTAAGAAAACGTTGCCGATCAGTAGTAGAAACTCCCGAGAGCACGCGAGCCAAATAATATAGCGCAGCACGTGGTCTGGAATTCACAATAAATTATCAAAGTTAGCTAAAAATTCTGTTTTTTTTCTCTCGACAAGTGACAGCAGACGCTAAAAAATAACTCGTAGAAATCGCAGCAATCACTCATAAGTTAATTTGAAGATAGCTCGCTCGTCACAGAGATCATGCGAGAGGCGGCGACTTGTGCACGCGTACACGCGCAACCACACTGAGAAAGCTGCCCATTCCGAACAAAACAAAAAAAGTTGTTCGAGGTCACGACGCGCACGTGAAGTGCATTCATTGACCCTCGCATATCTCCCTGCTTAGCTTCGAGCGCTTTCATCGGGACGAGAGAAGAGAGAATGCAAGTGCAAGATGCGTCAAATTTTAGTAACTGCCCTCGCTCCGGGTGTATTCTTAAAGCTTTTGCGGCATTTAATTCGTGAGGCAACTATCTCCTCCAGTGAATTTATTCCATACTTTATAAAGGGTGCTTACTAGCGCAAACGACAGGGCAGGAGCAGACAGGAGAAGAGACGAGACAGAGCGCTGAACTGCCAACAATTTATTTCTTGTGAAGGTATTCGATTTTGTACAGTTACCAGTCGCATTAGTCATGCGCGAACCACAATGACAATGCATAAGTACATCACATTGACAAGCAAAGCAACAACTTTTCCTACTTTTCCTTATTGGTGAGTGCGACTTAAGGGGTGTGGAGTCCCCTCCTGCCCTGTCGTTTGCGCTGGTAAGCACCCTATATAATGTTATACCAGCACGCCCAATCCCACTGTCTCTTATTCCATACTTATTCGAAAAAGTGTTTCAGGGCTCCTTAAAAACACTCTCGCTGATTACGCGGCAGGCTTGCTGGCAGTATTCAATATAGGGCTGGCTTCCTACTTAGCTGCATCATCATCCAACTGAATGTCTCGAAATACAAACACCGATAACTGACAAGAATGTTTGAGAGTAGCGGTTCTGCATTCGTGGATTGAAACATGCCAGTGTGGGGCTAATTAACGCCCACACATTCGCTTCCCGAGACTTCAGTTCGCGTTATATCTGCCTAACTTTGAGTCGAAACGTAGACTAGAGCCTACATTGCTTTTATAAACGAGATTTCTGCTGACATGACGCGTTTATCCAGAGAAGGTACGTGTACGAGTTCTTCTGTAAACAACATTTAATATCACCATGTTGTAATTTGTGAATAAAGCGAATTTCATAAACCAACGTGCCCTAACACGTTGTGGCGTACTTAAGGAAACAAAAATTTGTGGTAAGAATTCACAATGAACTATGCTAACTTATTCAAGTTTTAATACTGAGAAATAGGGACAAAGATCTTGAATGCACGTTTTGTAGCCGTAATAACGCTGCGCTATTTTCTGCATATTGCACTTGCGTTCCATCGACAAGTTTAGATGAAAGCTACAGAATTATCGAAAGCAATTACCACATGGGCATCGCCGACGGTGTTTGTGATTTTCGTGCTTTCATGGCGATTGTGGATGATAATATTTCAAGCCACTATCATGCAATCGAAATACGGCTTGAGAGCTTTGGCGAGGTGTGTCTGAATTGTGGGTAGCCGAGTGCGACCTATCCTACCTAATGAACAGGCATACATAACAACACTCATACAAGAAATCGCAGAACGACGCCGTACTTTCTCTTGATAATGAAAGTAAGCGGTACTCGTGTTGCCATTTCTCTGATAGCTAGATATGATGGAAATTGATACCCGTTACAAAGGGAGCACCGTGAACATTAGAAAAAGTTATTGTTTTGTTGAACGTAATGGTGCTCCCCGGTGATATTAAAACTCATTTATTAAAACATTCCATCCAGTGTGCTATATAAAGCGAAAAAAAATAATGTGTTTTCGGGAGTGTACAACGTTCGCACGTATACTCACTAGGCGAGTCCGTAGTTTCCCCTGGCTTGACAGCTGGAAAAAACAAGGCGTATATGTCAGGTCGAATGCCACATCAGCTTTATTTTTGCACTTTTACATGCTCGAACAAACTACTTACAGTGGTGAGAATGTGTATGATATCGTTTATGCTAGAAGCTAATTAGTTCATCAGGGATGTCGACCAGCTAGTAAGTTACCTTTTATCAAAACGTTACAGCTTATTCTAGATGGCATCAATATTTCAAGCGAACTTTTAGTTCCACACAAGGCATGCGGACATTATGTCGGAAACGACTAACAAAGACTAAAACGCATTTTAGTCTTCATCATGAGATGAACTCATCAAAAGATTGCTCTTTTGCATAATCGCTTGGAAACATATTGCGAACCAGATATGTAAATGTCATGATTTATAAATGTTTTAAATGCGATGCACTTCTTAGCCAACTACGGTAAAATTGAGCGTATCTATCTATCTATCTATCTATCTATCTATCTATCTATCTATCTATCTATCTATCTATCTATCTATCTATCTATCTATCTATCTATCTATCTATCTATCTATCTATCTATCTATCTATCTATCTATCTATCTATCTATCTATCTATCTATCCACCCGCTTACGACTTTCACCTTTCCTCGCCGTTTCGTTATTGATATTGATCCCAAATTTGGTATGGCTAATTATGAGTGTACGAAGAGCATAACTGACTGGTCATAACATGATTATACTGATATGTAGATCATGAATTTTATGATTTACATTTCATGGTCCTCTGCTCTTGCGGTTGTTTCGTTCACATGGCATGTTGAAAAACAGGTATGGTATGACAAAATTGCATGGCGAACACAAGTGACAGACCCCAACGTGAAAATCATGACATGCATGTCATGTAAGTCATGAGTCATGACTACATGTCACGCTCATGATGCACTCCCAGCCGTTTCATTACTTCACATATACCAAATTTGGTATCACGTGACGTGAATAGACGACAAAAGTAAATGACACATCAAAACATAATAATCATGACATGCGTGACATGTAAAACATGACTACATGCTTCGCTTTTAGCGTGTTCGCGGCCGTTTAACTAGTTCCACATATACCAAATTTTGTATTACCTGGCGTGAATAAACGACGAATGTAAATGACAGGTTAAAACATGATGGTCATTATATGCGCGTGATGTAAAACAAGACTACATGCTACGCTCGTAGCGCGCTCGCGGCCGTTTTGCTAGCTCAACATCTACCAAAGTTGGTATAACGTGACGGGAATAGACGACGAAAGTAAATGACATTTCCAGACACGGTTGACATGACATGAAAGTCATGTACGGCATAATTTACCTCCGCGACGTAACGTTGTGCTGAATTTAAAGTAACATAATAACCTTCCTCACTTGTGCTTCGCATATCATCGATTACCACTATACGTGGGATCTGTCAATATCATAATATATATATATATATATATATATATAGTCGATGCTCTAACTACTGAGCTACCACAGTGGCCTTCCCTCCATCCACTTTTTGGGGTTTATATGTGAATTTAGAAGTAGGAGTGTCAGTCAGCGCCATCTAGCTCAGTGGTTAGAGCATAGCTCAGTGGTTAGAGCATCGAACGCGTTATTCGAAGGTCGTAGGTTTGATTCCTGCTCACGGCTGGTTATTTTTGCCCACTTTTCTTTCTTCTTCTTTACATTCCATTGGTTCTAATATCTTCCCCTGTACATACCTTGGCATTACTGTCTGTTAGATCTCATTAATATTGTGTCAAAACAAGGAAAAACGAGCCCTAATGTATACACTTTTTTCCCCATTATATATATATATATATATATATATATATATATATATATATGTGTGTGTGTGTGTGTGTGTTGTGTGTGTGTGTGTGTGTGTGTGTGTGTGTGTGTGTGTGTGTGTGTGTGTGTGTGTGACGCTTAACGGGTGAATGGGGGAAAGGACGATGAGAAAGAGGAAGAGTCAGAATAAACTGGTGTTCTGACTGAGCCATTTGCACAGGAAAACAACAACAACAACAACGACGCCAAGTCTCATCTGTTACCGTAAGTCGACAGGATCTACCGCAGCAATATCATGAGCCTACCAAAGAAAATACACCGGAGCTGAAGACGACGTCCCTGTGGACAAGTGGTTGCACCTCTTTGAAACGAAGGCGAGCAACGTGAGCTGGTCCGAAGGAGATCGCATCGACTGCATCAGCGAGTACCTGGAAGGTGAGGAATTCCACTGGTACCTCACTGATATTTTCGACGCAGAAGATACGTGGGAAGGCATCAAAACAAGCATGTTAGCACAATTTTCTGCACCTGTCAGCGACCCTTTCCGCCAATTCATACACTGCAGGCTCAAAAGACAACAGCGCATCAGGCACTACTACGAAGAGAAGACACACCTTGGTCGCCTCGCAGACTTAAAAGACGTTCACATAGTATCAGGATTGACTGATGGTGTACCGGAAGATATCGAAAGGCGCCTCGCTGGATTGATGCTCCCCAACCCAGCTAAGTGACTTGCTGCTGCGCTTCAAGCGGAGGACTCTGTCCTCATAGATGCTACCCAACACTCGTCAAAGCGGCAGCTCTTGCATCGAGAGCACCACTCTAGGTGACCATGGGTCTCTACAGGATCAATGCGCGCCCCTCACAGTGAGTGCCGACATTGTGCATCCACTGGTTTACCGAATCAATTTCACTGGCACAATGAGTGCCTTCGTCGTGAAACGGCGTCTGCTCTAACTACCGGGTCTTCCACGCAACGTGTTGGGAGTACTCCAGGCAGAGTAAGCTTCACCACTGGGGCGACGCGTCACACTCCCTCGAAGCCCACCTGTACCCTGTTTAGCTACCGGTGGGAGGCCGGCCAGCACTGGGTATCGAACCCCGCACCTCCAGTAGCTGAAGCGAACGCGTACGTGCAATGCCACAGCTACGGTTGTCTGCACTAACTGACGACCAGAAAAACGAAAAGGGTGGCCCGAGCTTCATTATTAAGTTTTGGTGCACTTGTAAATGGACACATGGTGAACGTAACTCTCGGTACATGAACGACTATTACCTGTATCAATGAAGTCGTGTTGAAAAAACTCAAGCTTCAACTGCTCAAGGATCCATGCATTAGTGCCAAACAAGTCACCTCAACCACAAAAACTTTAAGCCGCGTACACACATAGTTGGAAATAAGGAAGATAAAGCGTGCAGTCCAAGTACACGTTCTGCCAGGCATGAAGACTGAATTCTTGCTAGGCCTGGACAACGCCTCCTTTTTCAACCTGTCACTGCAATTCAACACAATGACTTTGCTTCAAGACAACAAAGCTCTGCAGAATTCCTTTGAAACTCAAAAGCGTATCTTCAGCGCTGCTACAATCCCACTCCAAGTCGTTGATGACACGCACTTTCCCCCATCGCAACAAGCTGCGATGAGAGAGGTGCTTCACAGTTACGAGGACATTTTCTCAAATTCCAAGATAGACTTTGGATGTATCGTGAATGAATGACATTGCATTGGCCTCAGCAACAACTCCCAATCCAAAAACCACCCTATCGATGCTCCCCGGCAGACAAAGAGGAAATTGTCAGGCAAGTGAACTTACTTCTCAAGCAAGGTGTAGTGCGTCCATCCTTTTCCCCATATGCCCTTCCCGTCATTCTTGCAGGAAAAAAAGGCCAAGGATGCACACGTTTGTGCATTGATTTTCAAAAGCTGAACTCTGTCACTGTGCCTAACTACCAACCCATTCCACGTACAGACGATGTTCTAGGCTACCTGGGAAAATCGAAGTATTTTTCGACATCGGATATCACATCAGGCTACTGGCATGTCAAAATGAACCCAGAGGACATCCCGAGAACAGCTTTCGTCACGCCGAATGGCCATTATTAGAGGCTCGTTATGCCTTTCGGTTTGAGAAATGCTCCAGCTACGTTCGAAAGAGCTGTGAAATCAGTTATCAGAAAACATAACTTGAAGAATGTTGCCAATTATTTTGATGATATCGTAGTTTTCTCCAGCATGGACGCATCACTGTTGAATGGGGGAAAGGAAAATGAGGAAGAGTAGGAGTCAGAATAAACTGGTGTTCTGACTGACGCCATGTGTCATCTGTGTATATATACATATATATATATTATGAGGAAGAGCTTTATTCGAGGCGAGCTCGAGCTGGCACACACTGATGATGATATCTACAGATGAAAAAATTATACAAATGAAGATGACACGTCCAATCGATAAAGAAGAGTCGGTGACTGCGCTCACACTATTTCCCCGTCACGCTGGAAGTGGCCTCCTGGCCGCGCGAGTGACAATATTAGGAATTGCATCGGGTGTACCGTTTCAGCCGAGAAACGTGCACAAATTCTGTCCCACGGCAACGGTGGTCGGAGGGAGCGTTAAGTGGTGAGATACGGTAATTAACGGGAACGTTTGTTCAATCACCGTATAAGGCCCTATAAAACGACTGAGAAATTTTTCACGTAGGCTGGGCACACGCACGGAAGTCCAAGAACTTCGTCTCCTGGGGAAAAGGTGACAGCACGGTTAGTTGAGTCGTAGCGTGACTTGCGAGCTTCCTGAGAGATGCCGGTGTTGATTCGGGCCAGATGATGTCAGTGCTCGAGGCGAGACAAAAAATGTGTGAATAAAGGGCTTGCTGTGGGAGGAGGAGACGAAAGGAAGGAGATGTCCGGAGTTACACTTGGAGAGCGGCCATGGACCAGAAATTAGGGAGAAAAGCCGGTAGCGCGTTGCGTAGCTGTATTCTAGGCGAACGTTACGAATGGAAAACTGGCGTCCCAGTTCATGTGGTCAGGGTTAACGTACATGGCAATCATGTCCGAGAGGGTACGATGAAAGCGTTCCTTCAAGCCAATTGTTTGAGGATGATAAGTAGAAGTTGTTTTGTGGATGGTGTTGGCGGCGCGTAGAACCTCAGCAACAATAGAGGAAAGAAAGACCTTGCCTCGGTCACTGAGCAGAACACGTGGAGCTCCATGGCGTAAATATATGTTACGCAGAAAAAAATCAGCTACTTCAGTGGCTGTACCAGCGTGCAGTGAGGCGGTTTCCGCGTAACGAGTGAGGTGGTCAACAGCCGTTACTATCCAAGGATTTCCATGGGAGGTCGCGGGAAGGGGGCCGTGCAAGTCTATTTCGACAACTTCGAATGGCAAAGCGGGACAAGGAAGAGGTTGGAGAAAGCCAGAAGGAGCAGTAGTGGGTCGTTTCCGCCGTTGACATAAGGCACATGAAGAAACATATTTGGCAATCGCGGATGAGAGGCCAGGCCAGGTGAACCGACTGCGTATTTTGTCGTACGTTTTGTGATAGCCGAGATGCCAAGCAGCAGGATCATCGTGGATTGTCTCAAGAACCTGACGTTGTAGATAATGAGGTATGATGGGGACGCTTTTGTTTCCTTCAACGTGGTAAATATAGCGATGTAAAACACCATCGTGAAGCTTGAATTGTTTCAGTTGTCGGCGAAGTCGGGCGTTCGGAGAAGTGGATGTACCTTCTAAGCGTGCTATTATGAAGTGGCAGTAAGGGTCAACGCGTTGATGCGACACAAGGGTAGAAGGGCGGCCGGATCTTAGCCAACTGAGACCTGCGATGGGTAATGCTGCGGTGGAAATTGTCGACGGTGGGCTATTACGGTTGGGTAGAGGGCTGCGAGAGAGAGCATCAGAATCTTGGTTCTTCTTGCCAGACCTGTAGACGACATCCAAGTTGTGCTCTTGCAAACAAAGCACCCAGCGGCCAAGACGACCCGATAAGTTCTTTAGCGACGAAAACCAGCACAATGTGTTGTGGTCGGCGACGACTGTGAAGTGGCGGCCGTGGAGGTATGGACGAAAATTTTGTACCGCCCATACAACAGCAAAGCACTCTTGTTCGGTTATTGTATAATTTTCCTCGGCAGCAGTCAAAGCACGGCTGGCGTAAGCGATGACACGTTCGCGTGCGGTGTTGTCACGCTGCAGTAGAACGGCACCGAGACCATGAGCACTGGCATCAGTGTGAAGAATTGTGGATGCACCTAGATCAAAATGACATAGTACCGGGTCGGATGTCAGGGCTAGCTTCAACGCCAGGAAAGCCTTTTCACAGTCTTCAGACCAGACGAATGCCGTGTTACTTGCGAGCAGTTGATGGAGCGGAGAGAGAGGCAAGCCCTGCGAAATTGCGTATGAAGCGCCGAAAGTAGGATGCCAAGCCGAGAAAACTGCGCAGGTCTTTTTGACGCAACGGACGGGGAAACTCGAGAACGACGGCAAGCTTTTCAGGATCCGGTCGAATACCGTCTTTGCTGACTAAGTGCCCTAGAACCTTGATCGTCTTGCTTGCGAAGGTGCATTTTTTCGTATTCAGCTGTAAACCAGCTTTTGCAAGGCAACCTACGACTTCTTCGAGACGTTGTAGATGCTGCGAAAAGGTAGACGAAAACACTATGATGTCGTCTAGGTTACATAAGCAGGTTTTCCACTTCAGGCCACGCAGTACGCTGTCGATAATACGTTCGAAGGTAGCAGGCGCGTTACAAAGTCCGAAAGGCATTACGTTAAATTCATATAGCCCATCTGGGGTGTCAAAAGCCGTCTTCTCTTTTTCAGATTCGGACACTGGTATTTGCCAGTATCGCGATCGCAGGTCAAGGCTCGAAAAATACTCTGCGCCATGCAACGAATCTTGTGCGTCATCAATTCGTGGGAGAGGGTAAACATCTTTGCGTGTTATTTTGTTCAGTGCCCGGTAATCAACGCAAAAACGTACCGTTCCGATTTTCTTTTGCACCAACACAACTGGCGAAAACCACGGACTCGAGGAAGGATGTATGATATTTCGTGGAAGCATGTCTGATACGTTTTCTTCAATTATTTTTCTTCCTGCGAGTAACACGTGGTATGGGCGCCAGTGAATTATTCGGGAGCCGTCAGTCTGAATTCAGTGAGTCGCAGAAGTTGTCATACCAAGGACAGCGGAATGAACGTCAAACAAAGGGCGATGTCTGTTCAATAAATTCAGCAATTCTTGACTCTGGGCTGCTGTCAGATCAGGGCTTATCGTCACCGATAGAGGAGTGGGAGAGTTGAGTGGCGGCGTGCTTAGCTCTGGTAGGTCTTCTTGACTTGGAAGGGCAACAATTGCAACGGGATGCAGGTCAATAGCGCATGTGACTGTTGATCCACAGGGCAACAATAAGGGTTCGCTGGTCTGGTTTAACGCAGTAATAAAAGCAGACCCTTCAGAAAAACGAACAAGGCCTGGAAAGATCAGAATGCCTCGATGTACCGTGTGGCCATAAGGTAGTAGAAGCACGTCGCCATCCACAATGTTGCTGCAATCAACGCTAATTACTTCTCGGGATGGCCAAAGAACATAATCTGAAGTGGGGACGAGACGAATGCGCTGTTCGGGTTCCGATACAGAAGAGTCGGTGGAATCGAGGTTGATGAGGTGCTGACGACATGATATAGAAGCGCGTGCAGACGACAGGAAATCCCACCCCAAAAGGAGTTCGTGGGTGCACTCACGGAGAACTGCAACAGCAATAGGATGACGAATACCGTCTATGAAAACGCGAACTTTACACTGGGCGAGTGGACGACAAATGGCGTTCGTCGCAGCACGAAGAGACGGGCCCGAGTAAGGTGTTGTTACTTTGCGGAGACGGGAGCAAAGGTCAGAGCGTATAATGGAAATAGCAGCGCCAGTATCCACTAGAGCTTCGACTAACACTGTTAACCAGTTTATTGGTCTGTCTGGAGGAATTGCTGGCTGTCCGGTGGATGCAGTTTCCCCTCCTAAAACTGCATTGGGGAGTTTTCCAAGTGGGCATTCAGAACATTCGAGGCGGGTCGCAGAGGCGACGCGGAACGGCGATCGGGAGATGGTGAGCGGCGGCGAGACTCACGGGAGTTCACAGGCAGACCACTACTGTAAGGTAAAGAGGGCGAACGCTGAAAAGAAGACCGGTAAGGCGTGCGCTGGTAGTTCGTGAGTGGACTGAAGCGTCCGCGTTCCTCTGGAGCGCAGCCACGTTGCTCGTCCTGTTGACGCCTTCGGCAAAAGCGAGATAGATGACCCATATAGCCGCAATAATATCAGATTGGGCGTTGATAATAACAGATTGGCACACACATCAGTGTGTGCCAGCCCGAGCTGGTACGCACTGATGATGATATCTACAGATGAGGAAATTAATTATATAAATGATGATGACACGTCCAATCAATAAAGAAGAGTCGGTGACTGCGCTCACAATATATATATATATATATATATATATATATATATATATATTATTAGAGAACTTAAAGGTGCTTCTTTCTCCATATTGTTACTAACTCGCTATATACTGTATCCTTTTTCATTCGCAAAACCATTTGGAATCGCAGGATGTTAAAACAGTATGTATTATTCCCTATCAAAGCTTAATTTTACTTTATGTTGTACCAACAAGAATTTATCTAATTATTCAAAAAATATACAATACATATTTTTCAACCATTTAGTTTTTTTAAGCCACGGGACTGACCTGGTGTTGACGTGATGATCTTTACAGAGGAGATGGCCATCGTGCCGTTGGTGCTTCGGCCTCGAGTCACACTCACTGCAACCTGACAGCGAGAGCCCCGTTTAACTGGAACATTTAATGCTGTCCACTGTGATTCTTCGTTCATTTCGGTCGAGGATTGCACCTCAGGTTGGGCCTTGTTGAAGGCTTTTCCGTAACAGGTAACTGAGGCATCTGCAGCAATTATATCTGTGGGATTTCAAGCAGATTAGAATCAGCACCTCGTTGTCTTATTACTAGGTCAATATATCAGTGCATGATTATATCAAAATCAACCCCTCGCCGACTTACTAGAAGAATGACGTAGTAATTCAGTGGAAATTCACCTTACATCTATACGCTTATCACAAACAGCCTTGCGTGCGTCCGATGTTGAACATGTATGAAACCACCGCTCCTTACTTTCCTCATTTCTATTCAGCAGCTCGACAACAATCGCTTGAGTTCAGTGTGTGATTACTACTTGGATGAATTACTGAAACGAACGTTAATTTCCGAGACAGTATTCTGAGCGTGAAAGCTTAGCGCCAGTCTTTACGCCTACAATTGCGCAATATTCAATTTAATAGACAGGCCGGCACACCTTGAAACATATGCTCAAGCTGTTTTTAAAAACGCACGAAAGAGAAACAATCACATGGTTCAGGTTGACAATCTGCGCACTGATGAAGAACTCTTATGTCATTAGCCTCCTTGCCTTTCTTCTCGTTCATTCCTCTCTCCCTCTCTCTAATGCCGTATGTTTAACTATCATAAGTTCAATTATAAGCGGGTAAAACCAAGGTTGAAGGCTAATTTTTAAATTTCTCTCCAAAATCATCGCGCGTGATATAAGAAACTTCAAATTCTATTTTTGGCATTTTCTTAAGATTGGTTCTATGAAAGGTTTTGATGCTCGTGCGCTTGGTCTATGGCACCCACAGATGGCAGTGTACTTCATGTGTTTCTGATTGAAAACTACGTAGGGCCTATTAGGCGCCTTCAAAGTCTATGACGTCATGGTGTTTGGTGCAGGAATCTCAAGGTGGAGTCTCTGCCCGCATTCTCTTTTCAGGCATTTTCATGCTTCATGAGCGTCATTTGGCACTAAAGTTACTGTTTCCGGTATTGTGGAATTGTACTTTACTAATATGCGAGAAATCGTTCTGCTCTTCAGCATCTTTACAGCAATTTTAATTTAAAGAAGTAGTTTAAGGTGCTGGGTTAAGGTGCTCGGTTTTCACAATCCGTGCTCATTTGACCTCCTCTTTATCTCTGTTGCGTAAGCAACCAGTTAACCGTTGCTATATCGGTCTGGTGGACTGATATGTGGCGTTGAACGTCCCAAAACGACCACATGATTATGAAAGACGCCGTAGTGGAGGGCTGAGAAAAATTTGACTACCTGAGGTTTTTTAACGTGCCCCCGAATCAGAGCTCATGGGTCTACAGTTTTTTCGCCTCCATCGAAAATGAAACCGCCACTGCCGAGATTTCATTCTGCGGTCTGCGGGTCAGCAGCCGAGTGCCTTATTCAATAGACTACCGCGGGGGGGGGGGGGGGGGGGTCTTATGGCTGGTGTCATTATTACAACATAATTTTTGTCCCCGCATAATGAAAACAAGAAGTTGAATGCCTTTTGTCAATGTCAATAAATACTTTAAATTAAAGGGGCTCTGACACAAAAATTTGAGGCCGAGATAGCTTGTATGTTTGATTCGCAGGAACATTTGCATATCATCTGCAAACTATCAACAGTGAATATAGCTGGGAAAGTATTTTAAAGGGATTTAGAAGTTTGCGAAAGCCCTCGACTTCATCGTGCCATTGATATCATCGAAGGGGACCCCTAAGTGACCCCTTATTCCTCCAGTTCCCCATGCTGCAGTCAACAGAACAAGTTATGTGACGTCATAGCCCCCATTTTTCTTTTTCTGCATTTGTTCTCGCAGTCTATATTTCTCGGCGGCTGGTTGCGAGTGCGTGGCCGTGGCGCAGGCTTAGAAAATTCTCCTTGGCGATATTGCAGTCCCGTTTTGTATTCGAATGCGATTCTCGATGCGGACCGTGCGGAAAAGTGTCACAGTTCTGTGTGTTGACGTGGTCAAAAGCTGCGCACGTTAGGTGGCGACAGTTGCACCTAGTTTTTGGAGTTCTCTCAAACCAAAGCTGAAACTGATTGATAATGACGGGCCTGTAAATAATTATCCATCGCGTGCTGCAGCAAACGACGTGTCGTGTAATGACTGACAGGTCCCCAGCAACACATTGCAGCCGAAAAACGTGAGGCCAAAGTTGTTGTGTTAGTAACCCTTTAACATATAGATGCTTATACGTGGTGAGATGATCTCAAGAAACTCCACTGAAAGAAGTGGCACTTGGGTTTCTAATTGCGTTTACCAATCAAATGTATCATATTATAAACAAATTTGTGACAAAACATTTGACTACAGGTTTGGCACCTACTGCACAATTATTAAAACTGCCGTTGCGTTATTCCACTTGAGTATTGTAATTGTTTGGTGACTGAAACAACACAGAAAAAATTGAGAAGGCGTTATTCAAATATCATGCAAAATAAATTTTTGCAATCGTATGAAACGCAAGGTGCATTATTTGTTACAAAAGCACGCCTCAGTACAGGTGGCACATGTAAAACCGCGATGACAACTGGTATTGTTAGCACCAAGATTATATTTGTACAGAAATAATTATTTTACTACTGTCAGATCAAGAAGCCAGCTTCAAAAATTCATCATTAAGCTCATTCTTTCCGAAACCAAAAACGAGCACGCTTTAGGTATTCGTTCGGCTGCTAACACTTTTCGTTTGGCAGAGGCAATTTCGCACAGTTATCATGAAAATACCAAAGTGCTATGGTTAGCTTATTGTGATACTTCATTGGCCAATGCGTTTAGTTCTTCAAGTACGCATTTAGACATGAAAGAGATTGACAATCGTGAAGTCCTGAGGCAAAAAGTAGTTGCACTAGCAGTCAGTTAAAGCATTCCGTGTTACTTGATTATTACAGATTCCCTGAAATCTGTGCTTCACCCCACCAATCACTTTCGAGTGCTAGCCTTGATTGATTGATTGATATATGGGGTTTAACGTCCTAAAACCACCATATGATAATGAAAGACGACGTAGTGGAGGGCTCCGGAAATTTCGACCACCTGGGGTTCTTTAACGTGCACTCAAATCTGAGCACACTGGCCTACAACATTTCTGCCTCCATCAGAAATTGCCCGGATTTGGAAATAGCCGGGATTTGAACCCGCGACCTGCGGATCAGCAGCCGAGCACCTTAGCCACTAGACCACCGCGGCGGGGCAAGTGGCTAGCCTTGTCTACACTTTCCTTATCGGGATTACATCCCTTTTCGCTTCTCCCCAGTGTATGGCTGCTTAGGACAAGTTTTGATTCCAATAATGTTTCTAGCTTGTCAATCGTTTTTCTGTCTCTCTGAGCCTGTGGACATGTCTAAAAGGCCATCAGCACGCAAAACGGGGAATTTAAACGCATGACGGATCACATTGTGGTTGAACTATAATTTCGCAAAGAGAAGAACTTACGTGGTGGGGGCTTCAAACATCTCCTATATTTACACTGTGGATATCCAACTCACTCTTGTGAACACTACCGCACCACTTGTAATAACATGAGCTGCCGTCTCGAAGATGTTCTCGTTAAAGGCACACTTAAAGGGTAAAAATTTGAAGGTTACTGAGCACTATACTGATTCGCAGTTATATTCCTGCATGTCTTTAAGTGAGCATGTTGCTAGAAGCATTCTGGTAATCTTATATTCACGCTACTTGTGTCAAAGGGCAAAAAAACTATCAATTTTATGTGTTACGAATTATGCTTGCAGTGCTACGAATAATGTACATGTCATATAATCTGCTGTTCAACCTCAGTGGATAAAGGATGTAGAAGTTCCGCCTGCTTATAGTGACTCTGGCTTCAAAAAAAAAAAAAGAGCATGTAGAGAAAAATCTATGCTTCACCGATAATTGGGCCAGAAACTGATGTACCTAAATTTAAGACGCGTTCTCGCAAGAAACCTGACACTCTATGCTTCAGATGTGTGTTAATTTGGATTCTTAAGTGGGCGGAAAAAAGCACACTTAAATATAGCATATCTGTCGATAATTTCACGGTCAGATACCACTTTCTAAACAAAAAAGACAATACAGAGTCACTCACCTGATCCTCGTCTGTAGTACTGTATGGTCAGCTGGGTATTGTCATTCCTGACGTCAAACAGAGGACTACGAAGCTGCGCTGTATTGGGATCTCCTTTCACGGTGTTTATGCCGGGAAGAACTGAGTCCGTGGTGCCAGTGGTCAAGTCAAGGTAGGCGAATGGAGGTGTATCTGTGAGTTTTCAACGAGGGATCAGTAAGCTCATTTTGCCAAGAAAGTAAATGTGGTGCGTATATGGGAAGAAACACGAATAAGTAACTAAAAGTTCAACAAAAGATCAAAATCAAGAATGACACGACACACAGTAGGGAAAGTGAATGAAAAAGCAGTCTCGCGAGAAAAAAGTAGCGTGTAACAGTAGCCCTGGTGCCACTGAGACCCTCACCCGCTTGTAAATAGGAAACTACCAAATGTCAGGCACCTGGTAAAACAGCAAGACTGTAATTCTTGAAGAAACTGCACGCTTCTTATTGAGCTAACGTGTCTATGCCATTATTATAATGGCTTGTTCGCCAGCTTTTCCAAGTGCACAAAACGCATAAAGTGAACTTACCAAGGAACTGAACATGATGTCAAGATGATAACTGCTGCTTTTTGTAGCGTGAGCTACACTTGCCAAGCCAAAGTGGTTTCGCGTGCGTGCACAGTGCTGCGCATGTGCGAGGAGCAGTGACTGCGCACGCCTCGCCGGTTGCCGAATTCCAGAGGAGTGATGTCTTAGCCTCGGCAGACTTATTCTGATCACAACCTATCGCTCATGCACCTCGAGCCACACTGCTTTATTTGGTCGCGTCTGCCACGGCACTACATACATATGGCGGGTAAAGCCCCTACAGCGGGCCCTTTGCCAGTATGTTATAGCAATAGAGGAGGAGATAGAAATTGCTGCTTAGAGGTTCATAAGAGTCAAGAAGCTCAATTCATTAGATACCGAAGTTGTTTCCTGGAATTTAGCGGTTGAGCGTTGGAAGAACGCAGAGCAGAAGGCAAAATGTGCAGTAGAAACATCGGGGCAAAGGGAGACATGTCCAGGAAAGTGGTGTCGCCAGGAGGTAGATCGACTGACTACACTGCAAAACTTAGTGAAAAACTCAGACTCGGACTGTGACGCAGACCTTCGTGATGGACTTCATAAAGTATCCGTTTGAATATTTGTGCAATGTGGCACATGAACTGTGACCATTGAATGACTTGACGCCTGTAATTAGCGCGACGCGTTAAGCATTGAGTTTATTGTGGCGCCTCTTTAAGTTCACGCAACCTATATCCTGGCATATCCGAGCTATGCCATTGCTAGATTTTTCGCTAGCGCAGCAGGCATGATTGAGCTTGTGGTACAGTATTCACTGTTCAAATAAAACATTCAACTGATTGTGTGGTTAAACAAAGTTTTTCACACAATATTTATTGGGATCCTTTGCGTCCAACGCCTGAAGACTTTTAAAAAGTTTTGTTCTTCTACGGCATAGGATAGTTTTGAAGGGAATGTATACGAATGGAGAAATTATTGGGTTGATCTTTCAATAAAACACGTGATATCTTCGAAGCTTAGAGAAGTTTAGAAGCACACTAGAAGAGTTTCATGACATGGCTGCAGTAGTCCAGCTAGAGAATCTCGCAATATTGTAGTCACTGTGCTGAAGGGCGGTTATATAAAGGACACATAAAATTACATACCAATACCATATATATATTTTTAAGTGTGTTATAAGTTGAACAGTAAGACAACTAAGCACACATAGAGAAAAAAGTTTATAAAACATCAAATGTAAAAATTACAGCTTAGCAGATAAAGGAAAAAAAAATATACCAGAGGTTAACCAAACAGGAGTAATGTAATGAAATGTAAAGACCTGCAGGTTAGACAGACGCACCTCTTGTTTGCTGCCCTGCTCTGGCAAGAAATGTGGGATTAGCGAAAATGGTAATTATGTGGGAATATTGATAGAGAGTATCACGTGAACTCTTAGGACCGCGTTTGAAATCAACAGGCGCTCACAGAGACTGGTGTACTCTGAATGTCCACGCCCACAATAAATTGTCAATCCTGTCAACTCTTCAAATGTCGGATATAAAAGCTCGTAGTGACTGTAAACACTATGGTGTCACATGAATGTCTGTACACCAATCACGTGCAAGCGCTAGAAATGTCAGTGTCAATAGTGAACAGCTGGCCGTGACATACGTATGAGGCGACGTGGAAGTGTTCATTAGCACAAGGCTCACCAAAAATAAATATTGCAGCAAAACACTTCTGATTCGAGCAGGGCGCACAAGAATAGAAGCTGAACACCGACAAATTTGCGCTATTCGCCAAAAAACTGAGCGCCGATATCGTCGTACAGGCAGCGTGGACGAGTATAGGGAAGCGCAAAAGATTTCCTAGGTAATTCGCAGACAACTTGATAAACTTTCACTGCAAAAATGAAGAGAGTTTCATGAGTTCTTGAGCCCTCAGTTTCAAAAAGTGGCAAATATTGGGCTCCCTAAAACCTCCAGTAACTCACACTGATACTTTCCGGGCAATAAATAGTATTGACAACAAACTCGACAAAAGAAATCACGGCTGCTGAATTTTGCGCTTTGTTAACAGTACCAGCTGAATCAGTGTCCACAAACGTGTTCATTTAAAAAAAGCATGATACGAAGTGATTAATTAGAAATACACCTATGAAAGAGCACCCGTCCCTAGATGTAGAATTCAGTCCAGCTGAACTGCTGTCTGTCTTACGTAACGTTTTGCAAAAAAGAAAATTCCACAGGCCCAGATAGTGTCCGCTATGGTATGCAGTGTAACCTAGGACCTTCAGGAAGTACGGCACTCATTGACATATTCGTATAATACCAGCAGGAAAAGTGCATCGATGTCACTATCTTGGAAGGTGGCAAAAGTCGTTTCGATTCTCAAACCCGATAAGCCGCCAAATGTGCTGCCATCCTTCAGACTAATACTCCTAATCAACTGCATTAGCAAAGTTATGATTAAAATGGTGCGACGACGACTGCAGTGGAGGATGGAAGTTAATGAAGGCTTTTCTAAACAATAAGCGGGCTCTTGTCAATGCTTTGCAATGATTTAGACTATGTTTTAGACCTTGTCACTCACGTAGAGCAAGAGAAGACATTCGAAAGAATGACAATTGCAGCGTTTCTCGACATTAGGCGTGCCTTTGACAAAGTCAGTCACGTACATGTTTTCTACGGGTTAAATAGTCTAGGAATCAAGGGACGCCTATTGCTTTGGATTTCTGATTTTCTAATTGCTCTAAGTGTATTCATAATGACAAGCACAGACAGCAACACGCCACAAGACCTGAAAGCAGTGGTACCCCAAGGAAGTGTAATTATCCATACACTATTTGATATAGTAATGCACAAACTGGAGACTATTTTACTATCATGTGCATATTTCAACATACGCAGACATTACCTGCCTCTGGTTGTCTGGACAAGAATGCAGGGAAGTACAGGATCTGTTTCACGAAGGCATAAGTATAACTGTGCGCTTTTTGACAGAATGCGGCATGAATGTTTCAGCAGAGAAATCTGCGGTGCTACATTTTGCCAGAAGGCGTCGTGAACAGCCTGGATCAGACTGTAGCACATGTACTGCGGAAGCATCGTTTCCTTGGCATCACCGCATGCTAACCTCGTAACCTTAATGTATTCAACATTAAATATTGGATTAACCGCACACTGAGTGTACGCCGAAGTATTTCGCGAACGGGGTGGTACATCAAAATCTTTTCTAAATGTTCATAGAGCTCTTGTTTGACAAACCATCACATATCTACTAACAGGGATGCAAAGTATGTCTCGAACAAATGAACGTGAAAATAAAGAACACCGTAGCCTGCAGTCCTCGTATTTCCTTGAGGCTAGGACCTTCTCAAATCACAGTGGCCTCATATTCGCAGAAGCAAGAGAACCATCATTTCAAGTTATTCGCATTCAAGAACTTTCTCCACCTATCGATAATATATTATGCCCAACCACTTCGTGAAACACCTATTCAAAGGAGTGGGTGATTGGTGACACCTTGCGAACTCATGATGCAGCATTTCAACAAGTACAATATTTCTTGCGTCCGGATATCAACATTCCTCTGTAGCAGCTTGCATCACCTCCACTTACTTTGGGTGCACGTTAAAGAACCTCAGGTGGTAAAAATTTCCGGAGCCGTCCAGTACGGCGTCTCTCATAATCATATGGTGGTTTTGGGACCTTAAGCCCTACATATCAATCAATCAACCCACCTGTTTCGGACTGCAAAAGTGTAGAAACAAAAATCCACGGTACGCTATCTTAAAACCAAATTTCTAACGCTTCAACAAAGGTAAAATTATCGAGACCATTTCACATTTGTTTTTCTCGGTGGATCTGCAATGAATGAAAGCTCGACTACGCGTTCTTAGACACCCACATACAAAAGAGGAAGAGATTTCCGGTTTTTTGAAAGAGATCGTTTACAGTAAAGCTTGCTGCATTACTACAAGCTTCAAAATTTATTGTTGAAAGCCAGCAAAGGCAAAAGTTGGGAATATATTCTGATTCCAAAGGAGCGATGTTTACACAAAATTCAGCATTTCTGAAGACATCATATATAGCAGCGGAGCTCCCTGCATTACTACAAGCTTCAAAATTTATTTTTAAAAACCAGCAAATGCAAAATTGTATAATCTATTCTGAGTTCAAAGCAGCGCTACAAAAGATTAAGGACTTAATTTTCATATAGCTGATAGCATATTAAATGAAATCTTAAAAAAATTATCATCAGGTATCTCGTCACCATGAGTGCTTTTAAAGTCACGTAGGAGTGATGAGAAACAAAATGGCTAACAAATTAGCCACTGCAGAACACCAAGAAGGTCACCCGACACTAGTGCCCATTAATTTCTCAGAAAGAAAGAAGGCTCCTTGCGAACTGTGGCCCGAGTTGCGCATGGTAGCTTGGTTCGATAAAAATATGAAGCCTTCACTCTTAAATCAAATACATTCGTCTCTACAATTTACACCTAATCAATGATCAATAGACCGTTTGACACACTACTCCATCGTCTTGGATTAGGTGTTGAATACACACCTCACTCCTTATGCCGCATCAAAAAAAGAACGCCGTAGCGCTGCGACTACAGTGGTCATGTCGATGCGTCCTAGAAGAATATTCTAACAGAATATCCTTACATATAATGAACAACACGTTGAACTCAGTAATAATTTCAACTGACTAAACAGACCAACCTTCATGATTCGAAAAATACTTGAACCATGACTACGTTCCGATAATTAAAGACGCGCAATGAGCGCCCTCTGAAATTGTGTAACGGACACAAATTTAATTAAGTCACTTGAGTTCATATTATATCTTGCCACTATTTGAACGAACTCTATCTTTGATGTAATTCAGATAGAAAAGTGGTCTATGTGCATATATACTGTGCTCGGTCATGCGTTATAAGTTCGATAATATATATATATATATATATATATATATATATACGTGTGTGTGTGTGTGTACATAGTGCCTCTGAGTATATTTTATTTCTGATTTTCACATTTTTATTTTTATCTTGTACATTATTGTCACTATGTATGGATAGCCGACTCTAACGTAGCCTGCATTCCCATATTTCGCCAAATATAAATGAAAAATGTCGCTGAGGACCAATCCCACGTGCTTCAGAGTGTGGGCACACATCACCATTTACGTGAAAGATTCACGCGAAGGTTTCATGACTCATGACCATGAGTGGGCGCAGTTCACGAACATAAGTTTACCATTTATTATTCAATAAAATTTATCGCCTCATTCCACGAAGGTGAAACTGTTTCAGGCCCGTGTACTTCGATTTTGGCCCACGTTAAAAAAAAACAGTGGTAAAAATTTTTGGAGCCCCCCTCCCCCCTACAGCATCCCTGACTATTGAATTGTAGTTTCACGACCTTAAATCTCAAATTTTATTATTATTATCAGGATGCGGCACCTTAAAAAAATCGCTTCATGAGGTGTGTTTGCAGGACACAAGCAAAAAGCAAAAGCATGAAGACCGCGTGCTCATCGCGGCAAATCTGCCTTGAGCACTTGCAGGCCCATTCACAATTTTCCTGAGTTTCCAGAGAGCTTATACCACGGCATAGTAATTACTAACAATCACAGCAGTCACAGAGAGGAGAGATTCACCAAACAATCATTCGTGTTCAAGAAAAAGCGCGCAAATGGGGTGGTGCGTACCCTTTTCGCGAGGAACCGCTGGTTGGAGCACAGAAACTTCGTAGCGACCCGTGCCCACGAGCCACTGGAAGTTTCCTTGAAATTTGTTCACGTAGCCACAAAGGCCGTCAATGAAGTCGCACTCGGCGGGGTGGACACAGGGCTCAGGCCGCAGGATGACATTGTCCAGGCTCACAAATTGAGTAGGGTCGCTTCCAAATTTCGCCCGGAATACCACCTCGAAAAATGAAGGAGAAACGTGCATGAACATGCATATAAATATAACACTTATTCATTATAGATCACAATGTCGTGAATATGCATCTTATCTTAATGCTGAGGTCGCAAAACAAGGGCGTCTGTAGCTACGTTGGCGCTACGACAAAATGGAATGCCCAATGAAGCTTAGGAATATGGCAGGATAAACTTAATAAAACGTGCACACTCTCACCTATCGGCCACTTCAATTCGGCTGAAAAAAACTGGCGACTATCTGCTTTGAGTGACTCAAAGGTGAAAGGCACGTCGATCTACTGTACCTTCCACTCCGGCTTCCGAAGGCTCTTGCAGCCAGTGTGGTTTTGCAAACTCATTAGGATTGATAGCGTCATAACCTTTCTGCCCTTCACCTTATGTTGCACTGATTCAGAGATATACCCAACCTTGACCAAGCAACGATGTCATGTGGGGACGTCACCACTTGTAACGTTACAGTGACGCCATGATGAGGTCACAAATTTCAATGATCTTTGACGTCAGAATGAAATAGTTCACTTGATGATTATCAAATTTCGAATCACTCGCCTTGACACCGCTGACGAACGATGCCGATGCGGCACGCCAACCAAGTATCGCTTTTCTTGGGGCAGCAAAACTTTTTGCTTTTGCAACGCTGTTCTCAAACAGAATACTTGTGTGTTACTCTAACCATTTCGTTTCTTCCAGATTTCAGTATTAAGTGCAGGGGCGTAAATCCAGAAAAATCACAAGGGTGGACACCATCTTGTCATGACCTTCATTTCTTTTCTTTATATATATGTTTACTTTTCAAATGAAAATTGAAACCGCAATTCGAAGTGAAATAAAAACAAAGATTATTCTTAAAATTGTATGATAGTGGTCGAGCGCTTTGGTTTCTACTTCATTGCCAAACGATTTAGCAAAATTAACGATATAAGTGAATAATAAATGCAATCGGGATTTTTGTATTATTTTGTATCGCAATGTCAAGCAGCATTTGCATTGGAACTTTTGCATTCACAAGGCTCGAGCTCTACAGTATTTTTTGAAACGATAAGTAGCTTTTAGTGTTTACATCATGCCCACTTATTTCAATGGTCTCAGAGTTGAAGGTATGTTTTGCTGAGAAGGCGCCTACTAAAATATCAAAAAAACTAATTTGATATTTGAAAGAAAAACATTATGGGGAGGGCACGTTTGCAAGAAGTGTCCCCCTTGCTTGAACACAACAAAATTTGGGACCTCATTTACAGCACTCGTCGTAATGAATTCGTGGTTCAGGGACGTTAAAACCTAGATATTAAATGCGAAGCAGGAAACATGCATGGTTTTGTGATCGATTGAACGGCCTTCTTTTTATTTAAAACGCTTTTTTAAACTGTGAGGAAACAGAGACTGGACAATTTTTTCTTGTTGCTTATTTTCATCTCTTTTGCACACCTTGCTATGCTTCATTGCAGAAGCTATGCCACGGTTTGCCCTCTCATGTTCTTCTATTACTCAAATTCAACCTCAACCCTACATCTGTCCTCCTCCTTCGTAGTACCCTTCCCAACCTCTTGATAAAGTATACAAGACCATACCCTACTTTACCTCCTACTTGTCTCTTTCCTTGCAGCCCCGCCTTGTCCGAAATCCTACACGTCCTTCATTTCCTTTCCTGCCCATTAAAATACTATAACTGACATAAATACACTATGTCGAGAGCTGCTTGATGAATTCGCACTGTCTGTGGCGCATAAACTGCACACTACAAGGCTATGCTGTTATTCGCACTCTCAGCTCCTCGTTTTCGGATTCTTCAACCTCACTTCCTTTTCCCGTGCCCTTCCTCTCATGCATTATGCACAGCTATACTACGTGCGTGGAGCTGCTAAGACCATACCCGCTTTTTGTAGCGCATACATTGTATGCAGTGCTATGCCACGCTTTACCCCGGCCCCTTCTTTTTTTATTCCTCCTCACTCTCTCATCACTCTTTCACAGACTCGCTTACTTACTTCACGACGTTTCTCGAAGAATCAATACCAACTAATTTTTTTTAGCCAAAACCAAAGATTTTTTTTTATCACAGTGTCCCTATGAACTACGTAGCTTGTACTACGGCTAATAAAAATAATCGCAACTTGCACTATGTCACGTAAAACTGGGTCACAGCAGAGCTGTTGGGCAACCTACCCGGCTCTGGCTTGGTTTGGGTTTTCCCTCTCACCTGTATCTTCCCTACCACTTGCTATACTACACTATGCATGGCTATGCTCGCGCTGTCTTCTTATTATTTCCTTTTTTTTCTATTTATTTCGTTTTCGCGCTTCCTGTGTTTTTCTTGTTTTTTTTCCCTCTGGTTTTCGATTGCTCGGTCTTTCTTTCTATCTTCTTTCTCTCTCATTGTCCATATGGTGAAGTAACAATCTCCTGACAGGGACAAAGAGGATAAGAATGACCCGATCCTTGCTGCCCCCCTCTCTCTCTGAATTTCTCTACCTTGCCTTACTTTCATTTCTGTCTCTTTTTTTTTTCTTTCTATGATAAGCTTTACTCTCTCCCCTCTTCGTTTATCTATTCTTCCCCATCACATTGCTCCTGCTCACGTCTTTCTCTCTTTCCCACCCTCTTCATAAGCTACACTACACAAAGCAACGCTTCAGGCACTGCTAGTTTGCCTGGATAGTCGAGTGGCTCAGACACTTCCCTCAGGATAGCATGTACACGTTCAAATCTAGCCTCGTAGACCATGTTTTGGCAAGGATTTCACTTTTGCTCTTTTTCACACAATTTTTTTCTATTTTTTGTATTTATTCTCTCGACCATGAACATTACTGAGTCCTACGCGAGACAATTCAGAGTGCGTGTTCTGGGAGCAAAGCGAAAGCGGGAAGAGGACGATGATAAAAATACAAAGAGTGCATGTCAGTTCATGATTAGAACAGGAATCTATCTGTGGCATAAGGCAAATGCCGGCTACGACAGCTCTACCACAAAAATTAATTCATCTTGCAGGTAGTAAAAAGAAGTGATCGCAGGTAGCATGGCCTTGTCAAACATCAAAAAACGATAGCCATATTGAATAAATCTTTCGTTCAACGCATATTAAAAGAAGAATGGCTTAGGCTTCATTGCCGTTTTTTTTCTCGGTAGATTCACTCACGCGAGCCGTATTAAGGCTGCCCGTTAGCAACTGATAGAATTACGTTCAAGCTCATAAAGAAGAAAATAAGCTGGAAATTCTGCGAGAGCATTTTTCGCACTTCCCCGCTGCAACAAACATGCCAAACTTACCTTGAATGTTTTATATTGCGATATCTCCACACGTGCGAGCATCCAATCGTTTTCGGGGTATGGCAGCAGCTGCCACACAACTTCACTCTTCCCTTCTGCCTTAACTTCCACCTAAGTGGCAAGAAAGAGAAAGATGCAGTTATCAGAACTTCAGAAAAAATGAAGGTATTATGAGGTCCATCGTCGCGATACGCGCGCATCGGGCTAGGATATATGGCAGTGAAATAGATCCATAAAAAAACAATATAGATTCAGGTGACGTGTATAGGTTCTTGTACACTTCTGTGTTGCAACCACATAATCATCGTTTTTTTTTTTTTGAAGCAGTTTTTTTTTGAAGATTATAGAGAAGTGGTTTTGTGATTCTCGCTTCCTGAGTTTCAGACAAGGACTTTAACGTAAAATGTAAGAAATTATGCAGAGCGGCTCTAAGCTATTCTGCTTATATGGCGCTAATTCAGTTGCTTTCACTTGCTGTAGTGCTGTAGCGCTTAAACCAGCATTTTTGGTCCATTGCCTTTTCCAGGAGGGACAATCTTTAGATGAAACACTTGCATTGTGATCTATACAAGAACTCAGTTATTAGGTCATATTCGTTTTTCCAGAAATACAAGGGTATTCAGAGTACAATGGCACCCCACCACGGCGGTCTAGTGGCTACGGTACTTGGCTGTTGACCAGCAGGTCACGGGATTGAATCCCAGCTGCAGTGGTTGCATTTTCAATTGAGGCGAAAATGCTGTAGGCCCGTGTGCTCATATTTTGGTGCACGCAAAGAACCCCAGGTGGTCGAAATTTCCAGAGCCCTCCACTACGGCGTCTCTCATATTCATATTATGGTTTTAAGACGTTAGACCCCACGTGTCAATTATCAATCGAAGTATAATGACTTTTTTATTGCTTTCGCGACCATGGTTGCAACATAAACCCGTGTTTCGCCTTTGTGGAGGAAATCCCGTGTACTTCTAAAGCTGTCCCAGACTCAAACTTTAACGAAAGCATTTCTTCATGTGGTTTATTAATAGTTGAAGACAAACTGGCAGACTCGACGCCTTCGGCCTCCCACTATGCACATTCTCCACAATTGTGATACCCATATTTGTGGATTTTGATAGTGTAGTCTCTTTAGTTAATATTCGAGTTTATTTCTATTATGTTATATCAGGTGTGTTTTGAGCAGTGCATGAGACTTTATTGGATACTTTATAGTCGTAATTGTCATCACAACGTACGCAAGCACGTTTCAACCTCAGCGATGCTTTTCTATATACCGTGACAGCAGACAATGAGAGTCGATGATAAACTATTTCTGAAGGCGCTGCGCCCCTAAAACTAGGCTCGTGGACAAAAGGGTGACGCATAACAAACCGCTGATCACCATTTTCTGCTGCATCGCCAATTTCTTTTTTTGTTTCAACAGCGTCCTGCTACTTTTCCAACGAATAGATACCAGTATGTGCACTTTTATGTCTTGTCAATCAAATACTACATCAGGTCGCTTGTGAGCTTTCGCTGCTGCATCTTTTCTTGGCAGCGGTAATTTTAACTGAAAATATTTCATGCCGAGGTCAACCGCGGCTCGGGTGACGTATTTCTGTAATGGTTATGACGTTGTAAAATATCTACCAACAGATAGCAAAGAAAGAAAATGAGAGGGAAAGATTCTGTCGCACTGCGTCGAACAAGCAACCTCTCCACTCGCAGCGCAAGACGCCATCCTCTACGCCAGACAGCGTACGTTGGTGGAGATGATAGCCGCAAGTCATTTATATACACGATGTATTATTTAGCATTCCTCAGAGCTCCTACACTTCGACGTGTTTTCGTTCTGACTAGTGAGATGGCGCGACAGGGTGGCGTTGGGCTACCGTTGGGCGAGCTCTAAAGGTCGTCTCCTCCACGGAGTGCGGTCTCTCGTGCGCGCCCGCTTATCAGACTCGTCATTCGGGAGAAGATGGAGGTCACCGCTCGCTGCCGCAGCCACGTTTACGAAAGGAATGCGCTGCTGACAAGACGAAGTAATAAATTTCACAGTCGTTCACACTTGTCGTGTGTAAGCTTGTGCGCTCGTTTCATGCGCCGTTCTGTTTGAACCGCGCGCGTTAAGTGTCTAGCTGTGATAGTTGTTAGTCAGCACTCATCCGATGTACGCTAACTTCTTGCATGCTTTCTGCTTGAGGTGTGCGCTGCAAGTTTTGATCTGCTTGCTGTTCTTAACGTGACTTTGCAATTTGTTGCCTAAACGATGTACAATAAACGCTCAACTATACCCCTCCGCAGACACGTTTCATTTTCGTGTTATAGCGCTTCCTAGACAGGGGGATCAGCCACGTTTGACTTTGCTCGGCGTTCTTAAGAGCCCACCGCGTGCTAGCTCATGTCGTGAAGCCCTTAAACAGAATTCTTTCACTCTATTTTGCAGCCCAATCCACAGCTTCATTGACTAGTTTAAGGCAAGCTGAGCCAGGACTGCTAGACTAAACAAAGTTTTTGCTGCATTATCAAGGATTCTCACACTCTGGATTGAAGATGCACTTCTCATAGATTCCATTATTGATACAGGGTCATTCCATGCCAAACGTCCCAGCCATTTTGGCGGCCATCTTGACTGTAGTTGAAAGAATTGTGCTGATTTACTGCAATAAACACAATGAAATGGTAGAATATTTCAGAGATAAAAAAAATTTTGGTCATGTGGCTGCCTACTGAACTTTCCGCAATATCGTTTGGGTGTTGTTTGTGAAAAAAATCATTTTAAATGTACCACTCGTTTTCCCACACCAAACATAATAGACACTTTAGGTAAAGGTTCTTGTGTAAGGTGTTTGAAGCGCAGTAATATTAGTGCATTTTTCTGGCATATACACGAGTTTAGCCAACATGTGTTGTATTTGTATTTTTTTTCTATTGAAACATTGCACTGTGTGTGAATATCTGAGTAGTAAATACTTACTTCACGAGGTATATTTTGAAGAAAAAAAGATTTTTAGACCTCTCAAGCTGCTCATCTCTACGAGCAAAATAGACAAATTTCACGAAAATGTCATTTTCCTCCATATTGAGATGCCATTTGCACCATTTGGTGGCCCAATTAAAAAAAGCCTTCATACTAAACTCAAAAGCAAATACACCGTTCCTTTTATATAGCAACTGTTATCATTACATTTCTATTTTAAAGAAAAACATATTTTTTGAATTTTCCCATTGAAAGCAATGGCAAATGTCAAGGCACAAACAGTCGTATGACCAAATGGGAATATAGACGCTAATAGGAAAATTTAAAAATTATTTTCTTCCTTAAAAAATGTTATAAAAAATTTTCCACTTGAAAGGTTCATTTCTTTTTGATTTTAGTGTCGAGGTGATTTTTAATGAAACCACAACATGCTGAAATTTGCAATTCAGTGTGAAAAAAACTGATGGTTTTGCTAAATTTGTGAATTTTTTTTTCTTTAGCAGCTTGAGATACCTAAACATATTCGCCTCAACAAACTATCGTCTCAACAAGGACGGGAGCCTAATTGTTACAGTGTCCACCCTGCCTGCCGCAAACCGTCTATTAACGGGGCCTGAATTAGCTGGTATAACTGTGGAAGCCCGGGCCTCATACTCTTACACAGCGAACTGTGGATGAAGACTTACAAGACGTCTGCGTGACCAGGACGTCCTGTCAGCAAGGAGACTTACCACCTACACACCCGAATATGGTGGAAAGGTTAAAAAGGTACGTCGTCGATCCGTCATCTCGGAATTCGCCAAGGACACACCACAACCTAAACGAGTTACGATTGGGTTCTTTAGCTACCCAGTCGCCTAATACGTCGGGGCAGCTACACAGTGTTATAAGTGCTAGATGCATGGTCACATATCGAGACACAGCAATGACACGGTACGCTACAATGTCTGGGGTGGACCTCATTCGCACAGAGTCCACCTCAAGAGCCAACCCGTGCTAACTGCGGTAGTCCCCACCCTGCTTCATACGGAGGGTGTGTTAAAAAGTAGGCTGCTACGCTTGCACGCTCGTCGGAGCAAGTAGAAGGGAAACCACCAAGGCGCCATGAACCACCGCCTAATCCAGAAGTTGTATTCGCCAACATTAAAGACTTTTCCCAGGAAAGATCATCACAAAGCCAAAAGGCATCTGACGACACGTATGCTGATATGACCAAAAAGGAACGGAGGAAGCCCACTGGCTGGTCACATCTTTCAAAACCACAGCAACGCGTCTTACAAGATACGTCAGTCGAGCACAGCCGTCATCCGTCTCAGCCACCGCAACACGACATGGGGATCAGTGAAAGGCGGCAACACGGAAACACCAACCAAGATTTTGCACGTATAATGATTCCGATGTTGTTTGCAGCACTCAAAACCCTTGTCCGCGCTAATCCCTCGTAAATATGTCTCCCAGAGGTGAAAGCCATTTTTACAATAGAGCCATTGGTGTAAACGTCTTACGCTCCGCAGTGTTGTACTCCTTCGCAGTTGTAATCTTGGCTTCCCAACGACATCCTCTCCTAAACTGACCATTCACAGAATCTTTCGCACAAGCGCCGTATTCCAGTGAAACCCTCGCGGCCTTTGCTCGAAACTCTCGGAGTTCCGGTAACTGGTGCGAGAATATAGATTCCCTTTCATCGTCATGTCTAAATTACGTGTCAACCCAAATTTAGAATGAACGAATCAGTCAGTCAGTCAACAAACTTTATTCACGAATTCTCCTGAAGAGCCGATGTCCTTCAAGAGGGCGGGCCGGCTGCGGGCCGCATCCACGTTGGGACAGGAAGAGCATGCCCCTCCCCCAAACTGCTCGCTTTCTGGACAGCCCAGATTTGGAGCTCCCGGTCCGAGCTGGATACTATTTTTATCACTCAAAGCGACCTCATGGTATCAGGAAATTACTCATCGGCTTTCGCATAGGCATTCCAGCTTCTGCAATTGGCATCGAGCCCTACAGCGACAACAATTACGTGTGCGCCATAACTGTGATAAGTAAACAAGAATACACTCTCATCGGAGTACACCTTGAACCAGGCAGGCCTTTCGAAACTTCAAGGCTTGAAACTTAGCTTTACGGACACCTTTTTCACACATCATTTGTGGAGACTTTTGCGCACAAAGAACTTTGGGGCAGCTGACACACTTGTGCTCCAGAAGCTAAGCTTGCAGAACTGCTCTCAAAACATTTGCTAGAATCTCTGAATGACAGCAGCATCACCTACCTACGAGGCACAAAGACTACCAACAGCATCGACGGTATCTTCGTAACCATTTCGGTTTCTCGCAACTATGACTGGTGCACCGACTTGGAAACAAGTGGAAGGGAGCATACCCAATCAGGATATTAGCTACTGGTGCGAAAATGACATAATGGAGAGCCGTCCCAATAGCTACAGTTTAGAAAGTGCACGAAGACGCTTGCAGGTAAAGGAATCCCTGCCGCTACCAAAGATGATGAATTACTCGCTACGATGGCTCATCACCTGAAATAATGCACACGTTTTAAATACAAATGACATATTTTTGTCAAATGATGAGGAGTTTGAAAGACTGTGTGCTTCTTGCGGACGAGCTGGAAGGGAAGTATTGTGCACAAAGTATCTGGAATATTTCTGAGCTGGCCGAGAAACACAGCGTCATATTCGACGCTACATGAATGAAGGTAGCTAGTGAAGATGTCGTCGACTTTTCTCAACATTATATGTTCGTCAACCTGTGTTCAAAATCAGGCGAACTTTAGAGGCAAGCGCGCGCCACTGCAACCTCTTTACTTTATCGCCGCACTCTCCCTGTACGAACAAAATACCCTCAAAGAGCTCTCAGCAGGGTACTGCACACTACTATCAACAACTTCAACGCCTTAGGCCTCATATGCAGGTAATCAGCCTGCCATCTCACGCTTAGCAGTGTCAGCGCTAAACATACCTTTTATAATAGAGGAACTGAACACTGCTATCGATGAGTCAAACAGGTGGATACCACCCGGTCATGACGAAATAACCTATAATGTCTTTGCGAAGCTACCCCACGCGTCTTGCTTACAACTCTTAGAATAATATAGTTCTTCGTGCGGTCCCCGCTGAGTGGCATCTGGAAATATAGTGCCCATTTTGACACCTGGTAAGCAGCCAACAAACTACGCCTTTTCGGCTCATCGCCTACTGAGTTGTGTTGGCAAGCTCATGGAACGAATGATTCGCAAATAACTGACATGGTTCCTAGCAAGCCGCAACGAAGTTCCCCTAGAAATGAAAAGGTTTCGCCAAGGCAGGTTGGCTATCGAGAATGGAATCAGACTTCTTTCTTTCCTAAAAGAAGACATCTTCGCTGGCAATATCCCGGAAGCCATTTTTCTTGACATTAAGGCAGATTTCAACTCAATCTTTCACCATGCCATTCTCGCAGCCATCCACAATCTTCGCCTAGGAGGGAAGCTATACATGTGAATTTAGAACTATATCTAAAAGAGCGGGAAATATATATGAGCACTCCGAACAGTCACACACAGTTCTATACAGTAGAAAAAGGGGTACCGCAGGGTACCATGCTCAGTCTGCTCTTTTTCAACCTTACCCTGATACACATAACAAGGACTACCTCGAGCAGTACACATCACGGTTTACGCCGATGACATCTTTATCTAGAGTGCTTGAAGTTCACGTTGCATCACCAAACAGTGACATTAAAAACCTTTACGGAACCTCTCTACGTATATACACCCCGAGGCATGTGCCTTTCACCCGAAAAGAGTACAGCCATTGCTTTCACGATAAAGTAAATGAGCAAATATCTACTCCTCCTCGGTGAACGGCCGCTGACCGTACATAAGTCAGCGGCTGCCCACCAAGGAGTTGTGAATACTTGCTCATTCTGTAGTCACTGCGGGGAACTTCGACGATGTGTCGAGCTTGGCGTGCTTAAACGTGGCGCTCACTGTGCGAAGTTGCCTTTCCGCGATTAAAGAAGTGACCCCGTGAAAGCGTCGGTGAAGTCAGAAGTATTGTGTTGTCGTGGACTGCCACAACAATGCAGATAACACTAAGAGATGCTCTACACAAATCAGTTCCCCGGCAAGTCATGCCGAAGAACAGAACACTGAGTGGCGTTTACGAAACATAGAGCAAGAATGACACGTGAGTTGAAAAAAAAAAACAACGAGGCGAGCACTTCAACTTTACTCACAGTAGTTTTAGCTGAGCTTGCTGTCTCGCAGCGAAGTCAGCGGCTCATGCTACCGTGGCACGATAGACATAAATCGAACACTTCTCAGACATTTTAATGCCATGACCGTATAAGCTTAGTTTTTATTTATTTTGTATCCTACCACTAACATTTGCACATGACAGTACATGGCTACTACTGCTAGATACGTCATAAAAACTCCAATTATATGATTTTGCTAAAACTGAATGCGGAATAGTGACAGAGTCAGTGGCTTCACGTCGACAGAAATATACCTACCTCGAAGCATACTTCGTACACGGTATTGTCACGGACCTGAGAAATGCATTTCACGGTGACTCGGGCGTCCTCGTCTTCTATCGTCTGCTTCACGTCATAAACGTGACTTACTAGCTTTACTCCTTTTGTTAGATTCAATAGTGTTGACGTCACTGCGGCCACCCCGCCCACCATACCCTCTCTCAGAGCAGGTGCTGGTTGGCAAGAATGTTCCGCCGGCAGCATATTTCTGCATAGCAGAGCTGCGTGTCTGCATTCCTTCGACAGAAATTTCTGCATTGCTATGTTCTAAAGTCACAGCTTTTTAAACGAGGGGGTCGCGGAAGGGTCACATCTTATACAGTGAAAATTCGCTCGTCGTAGATGTATGAATAGAGAAACTTTAGAGTACTGAAAGACGCGACTAGCACGCAGTGGGCTTTACCCACGTAGATGGCAGCCACAAGAATATCTGATCTTTTTTGAAAGCGAACGTTTTGAAAGTATACAGTGACTGCCAGTTTGAGAAATATTTGCGTCGCATGGATGTAAACTTATTCAATTTCCATCGTGACATGTTCACTGCAGTTCTAAACGAACTAAAGCATTGACGGCAGCATGGTTTTGAGCTGCTTTGCGCGACGTCACGGATAAGATTCTCACTCATTGCCCAAAAGTCTGATCGGAGACGAATTGAAAAAAAAATACTTCTTGCCGTGCGTTAGTCTGAGGTTAACGTTAACATGTCCTCGTGAAAATTAAAGTTAAATTCTGCCGCTGCGTTTCTCAATATACCACCGAAATTATTGTGATGTAAAGCCCGACAACTTAAAATTATATAATATTATCTGGCACAGTTAACTTGCTGCATTCGACACCTCTAACGTGTCCTTGTACTTATATTGCTCCTTTAGGCTTGATGCACAAACTCCTAATGCGCATTGTCACTTTATAAGGATCAAGCCGTAAATGTACAAAGTAAATAAGAAATTAAAATCTCCGCTGTTGCCATTAACACGTATCAGGTATCCGATAATACGAGTTATAGCCGTGGTGAAGCGTATATGCAGACTCGGCAACGCCACAACGTTGCTTATAGCTCATGCGTAGTCGTACATATCACCCAGAGATCATGCACTTTTATTTTTCTGCACGCCGCGCGTACGCTGAAATGTACCCACTCGCAGAACATTGCATCAAATGCATCTTTATCTTGACTAAAATGTCAGATCGTAAAGTTCCATTGACAACCGCTTACTGCAACTAGCCCTCAACGAATACCAGTGTTTTCGGAAACAGGACGCATCGCGTTATTCGCACTGCACACACCCACGCACAATATTCACACTTTCACCGTCCGTATAAAGGTGAACCAATATTGTCGATGCCTTTCAACGCACACTACACAACACAGTCAACACTGCACATTTTCGAAGACGATGCCGCTGTTCCTCGCACAGGCCGCCACGTGTGTTCACTTCTCCGAGATAAACAGCTAACCAACGTGGCAAATATTTCATCACGCACTTCACTACACACCTAGATGTTCTCTGACACATACCACAGCTAATGTTTCCACTGCGAAATAAAGATTAGGGATTCGAAAAGAAACAAAAACCTTGCTCTAAGCAACGAGTGACTGCACTCCACTCCGCCACAGGCGGGAGTGTTTTGCCAACCAGCGCCTTGCACGTGCACATGTGACGTCACGCGGTGACGTACCCCGGTAGAGGTCTATTTCGGAAGCACTTGTCGAGCTCAGAAAGATTTCTGCAGCCGCACTGCAGACGGTCCGTGAGGAGACTCAAACGCACCGCGCATGCTGTGCATGAGCCCGTAAGCGAGCGGTAGCGCGTTGGCCGGAAGGGAAAATGCTTGATATATACATCCCCGATTTCTACTTTTATACCAGAGATGTCGCTGCCTGTCCGAAGTCGCAGCGCCACCATGCGTTACTTCGGCTCCCTATGGGCTGTACTTGTACAACAGAACAAACGACAAATTGAATACTACTATTGCGTGCTGCCTTTTTTTTTCCTTGTATGCTTTCATCACATCAATAAACGCAGGGAGAATTAGCTTTCCTAGTAGACTTTTAGTGTGTCCTACAAGCAGTAGGACACAGTCGCCAATGACACGCAAAGAGCTATGGCGTGGTCTTTTTCTAATGGTATCAATGCCAAACGCAGACATGCATACCTGTAATGTTGGGTCAGTTTTTCCACCGTACTTGTACCAGAACTCGAGGCATTGAGGTTGCTTTTGACCGGGCCACTCGGGGCTAGTGAGCAAGGCACCATCACGTGGTACGTTGGGTGGCCTGGCTGTCAAGCAGTAAACTGAAGGAAAGAAATCATGGTGTTCAATAAAGAATAATCATACAGAGATATTCTTTTAAATTATTTTTTTAAATATCAAATCTTGCTACTAGCACACTGAGAAACCTGAACATCTTGGGAATTCACTACACTACGAAACACATGCACTTGCATGGTCGTGTTGTACCAAATAAATAACGTCCGCATTGAAGTAACCTTTGAAGACAGACCAGTATAATTTAGGCAATAGACAGGGAAAAAAAATGTTACCCTTTCCAACAATGCACAGAAAAAACTTGCTCGCGAACTAAAAGCTACTCAATGGATTCAAAGGGTTAACGTCCCGAAACGACAAGGAGAAAGTATTACTTGACTGTCAAAAGAGGTAAGTGAACATTGTGTTAGTCTATGGGTTTTATAAGCAAAAGCGACGCTGGCTATGAGCGACACCATTGTGGAGGGCACGACATACATATGCGAACTTGCTAAAATTATACACGTGCAGTAAAATACTGAAATACACGGGGCCGTTACCTTGTCAACTCCAGTGAAATACCAGCTCCATACTGATCGAAGATATCTGTACGTACGCATTAAAAACACAAAAGGTGTTTTACGCATTCGGGTCCCGTGCGGTGGTGTAGCGGTTAGAGTGATTGGTTCTTGAGCCAAAGTTGGCAGGTTCGTTTCCGGCTGCGACTGAGGCAAATGCTAGAGCAAATGATAGTTGTGCTCTGCGCTGTCAGCACACGTGAAATAACACGAGGTGGTCAAAATTCCGGAGCCCTAATTACTATGGTGTCTCTCGTTACCCTATCAAGGTTGGGGACGTAAAACCCCAGATATAATGATGCATTCGCCAGAGATGACACAATGGAAAAGCTATCTTCATTTCCTTGCAGTCGGTGTATAGATACTCTCTCGCCACCGGCAGTAAACTTTCTGTTCGTAGAGTAGGTTATTGGTGCCTGTTGAATCAGATGCATTGCAAGCGTTCTGCGTCATTTCCCCTGGTGTCGCACAGCGTCCGCAATCAACACCTTAATGACGAAGCGATGATTCAATGAAAAGATGTCATCATGTAAACTCATGTCATGTGCCGCCACATGACGCCGTCGTAAGTTGACGTCATCGCATGACGATATTGCGCATTACTCGCGCTCACCCCGACGTCGCTGGAATCAACGGCGCCTACTGTCATTCTTCGAGTTTGATGAAGTGTCGTAGTTCTTTGTCTAACTGAAAACATGTTTTCAGGAAAGAAGGGGATAACTGATATAGTTTCTTCATTTTCTCTAATTTTCTCACAACTTGCTATTATATTTAGAAGGAGAAAAAGTGAGTGATCTCAGTATTTATGAATTTTCAGCCGACTAGAGAAGGATTCGGTATCATTTTAGGTTTCGCGCTCCACCAATGCATCCACGTTGTGTTCAAGTCTACCGTGGGCTTAAAGCGGTATGACAGTGCTGCTAGACAAAGACCAGTGACATGCCATCACATTAGGAGCATCGCATGATTGTCAATTCTATCACGTTATACCTGCGATTCATCAGTGGTACAGGTGGGCACTCTATAGCTTTTCTCACATCCTGTATCAAGATACGAATAAAAGAATGATGTAACAGATTGGTCAAGGTGTTAAATACCTGCCTCTATGAATACAGTGATAAAAACGCCACTAAGTAGTCATCGCTTCCTCCAAGCTTTTCTATGTGAGAACCGGACCCTTACAGCAAGTGGCGAAAATAGTCACTCAATCAGTCTGCCAATAAATCGATTATTGAATAAATTACTCAATGAATTTTCATTTCCAACATATCATAACACTTTGTCTGGGGTCCTCTCGTTGAAAAGCTGTTCTAAACAGCCTGAAGCTGCCTGAACGCCATTTTGTTGAGATTGATTTGTGACATCGAAAGTGAACTACGTTGAGTTTTTGCCCCACAGTGGTAGTTTAGTGGCTAAAGTACTCGGCTGCTGACGCGCAGGTCGCGGGATTGAATCCCGGCTGCGGCGGCTGCATTTCCGACGGATGCGAAAATGCTGCAGGCCCGTGTGCTCAGATTTGGGTGCATGCTAAATAACCCCAGGTGGTTTAAACTTCTAGAGTCCTCCACTACGGCATCTCTCATAATCATATGGTGGTTTTGGGACGTTGAACCACATATATCAATCAATTTAAGTGAACTGACGTCTTGTGCGCGTGAAACGCGCGTAAGAAACCTTGCGCGCGTTTGGTTCACCTCGCACGCCATTAATCCCCCAAGCTGCCCACTCCCAACGTGCTTCAGAGTTGAATTTCGAGCTTCGTTCTTCGTGGTGATGCATGGCTGCTGCGTGTTTCAGTGCAGCAGCAGGTCAGAGAAAGGAGTAAAATTATTTTATATTTTCCGAGGTGAAGAGAACGCCGTGCATGGGAAACATCGAATTGAAAATAACGAGAGAAAAAACTTCGCCCCTTTCGAGCACGTCATTGTTCGAGGTAATTGTTATGACTTTTTTTAATATAGCTGGATATCTGGATAGAATTGTTTGGTAATTAGAATGTACAATGCATAGCCGGACGGCCCGTTGTGTTAAATCCCGAACACATATAAATTTGGATATAGATTTTTCTGAATCCCTATGCTATGCCATTTTTTGTGCCCTGAGAAAGCTTTGTTGAGTTTTCGCACGTGCGTTAATTTTCAAAATATGCACTTTGTAAGCTAACATGTCTAATTCCTAACTTGCAGTTCTAAGCGCATGTGTCTGTGCGGGTGTGCGCGTGCTCGTTTAGGTGTACGTAAGTGTGCGCGTACGTTTGCTTGTGATTGTGTATTTCAGTATTTTCACCGGTGTCTGTTCGTGTGACAGCCTAGCTGTGTGTTCACGTGAGTACGTGCGTTGGTCTGTCTGTATTCTGTGCGTGCATGTGCCGTGTACGTATGTCTGTGTATGTGTATGCCTGCGTGTGCGTTTATTTGTATACGTCTGTATCCGCGCATGCGTATGTGCGTGAGCAACTGCGTGAGCTTGTGTATGTATTCGCGTGCTAGATTGCACGTGAGTGTGCGCATTTATTTTGTGTGTGTGTATGCGTCAGCGTGAGCATGCGTTTGCGTACGTCTAAACTGTCATTAAAAGACAGATTTATCAGCGCAATAAAAGACGGAACATTTAGAGAAGAAACACACACACGGCGCTGAGTGTGTTTCTTCTCTAAAAGTTTCATCTTTTTTGTGCGAATATATCTGTCTAAGTAATCATGAACCAACTAGCCCAAGCAGCAGTTTTAGTGTAATTATAAGTTACCATAATATTGGAAGCTTTTGTATGAGCAGTAAGCTTTTTTTTCTTCTCTTATGACACTGGCGTAAGTCGCAGAAGTAATGAAATAAGAGATACCATCGTTCCATTCGGACGAAATGCAGGTACGCGCATTAATTCTACTCTGGGTTCTTAATAACACGACATATATTTTTCGCGTCTGTGTTGGTATAAAAGGACGCTGGGTCCACTTACTTCGATGAATTATTTAGGTAAACACTCACATTACTTTTAGGCTGTACTTTCTTGAGCTCATCAGAACCACAATTATGAAAAAAATATTGTGTAAACCTTATATGTGCGTATATTATAGAAT